CGCCCTCGCAGTCGATCCACCAACCTCTTCCCTCTTCCCTCTCCCGTTCAATCCCTTCCAATCGCGCGTCCTCTCCCGGACCAGAAATTCGGATGAGACGTCCAACATTTACCCACCACCATCGCCATCGTTCTCACTGACACCACCTTCTCTTCCTCCCACCACAGAGCTCAAACCCTCCCACCCGGACTTCGAGATCCTCGGCTTCCCCTGCAACCAGTTCGGCGGCCAGGACCCGGGCAGCAACGACGAGATCCAGTCCTTCTGCCAGCTCAACTACGGCGTCACCTTCCCCGTGCTGGGCAAGATCGACGTCAACGGCGACAAGGCCGACCCGCTGTACGACTGGCTGAAGAAGAGCAAGCCGGGCATCATGGGCCTGCAGCGCGTCAAGTGGAACTTCGAGAAGTTCCTGATCGGCAAGGACGGCCTCGTCAAGGACCGCTGGGCCAGCACCAGCGGGCCCGCCACCCTGAAGGCCGCCATCGAGAAGGAGCTGGCGGTCACGCCCGAGGAGAAGCTGTAGCGATTTCGTGTGTCGGAGGAGAGTGGCCGGGCGGGACAGAGAGATATTCCACGATAACCGAAAATGAGAACCACGAGAGCTTGTCTTTTCGTTGTGTGAAGAACCCAACTCCATTTCGAGGCTCATTTATTGGAAGTCTCAGTTTGAAGGCGTGACACAAAGGATTTCCTTTTCGTACGGTGAGATAGGGGTTTCCTTTTCTGTTCGTGAGATCACAAGGCGGTTTTTCTCCTTTCTATATACATATGTGGAAATCGTCTTTTCCCCCTCAGGGTGATAAAAAAATAATAATAAAATCCCGGAATCTCCCAGACCCGGTTCTCTCCATGCCCGCTCTCCTCCGGGGGGGGGGGGGGGAACCCGTGACGGGGAAACGGTCAGGCTGGAATCGACGAAGAAGAAGAAGAATGAAATGAGAATGAGAATGAGAATGAAAAGGAAAGACTTCCTGATGAGGGAGTGAGCCAGCGAGCGAGTGAATGAGCGATGATCTTCGGGTCGAGAAAAAACACACGATGGAATTTAGCTGAGGGGGTATTTCTTTTTGTCTTCTTTCTTTTCTCTCCCGTTTTTGATAGACGCGAATCAATAGCGAGAGAGGGTACAGCAGAGAGGGAGGCGGAACGCATCAGGGAAAGCGCCAGCAGTCATCTCGAGGACTTCTCCTCTTCTTCTTCTTCTTTTTTTTCCTTTTCTTTTTCCTTTCTTTTTCCTTCTCTTCTCCTATCCTACGAACAGGAAGCCGCCCTCCGGCAGCCACTTGGGCGATTTCACCGCGATCTTGCGGCTCTGGAGTTTCCGCACGAACTGCTCCACGCGGCGGGACCGGCGCGGCATCGGCGAGGAACCGTCGCTGTTGCTGTTGTTGTTGCTGCTGCTGCTGTGGCGGTCGTCGTTGGGATCCACCCCTTCGGCGTTGGCGTTGGGCAGGCCGAGGCGTTCGGCGGCGGACGGGGTTTCGGAGACCTGTTGTTGTTTTTGTTGTGGCGGGGCCGGTGCTGCCGGATCGGCGGGTCGTGAGCTGCTGTCCTCGGGCGCGCGTTCGCGGACGGGAGGGTCGCGTCTCTTGTTCTCCTGCTGCGATGGTTTCTTGTTCTCCGACGGTGGGGATGATTTGCCCTCGTGGGACCCCTGCTGCGAGGACGTCGAGGGGAATCGCTTCTCGGGCGCGGCGCCGACGACCTGGAGCATCTGGCTTTTGTGCCCCGAAGAGGAGGACGCCTTGGTCTTGTCGGAGATGCCGCCGCTGCTGATGCCGGTCTCCTTCAGGGGCATGTCGCCGTCGCCGCCGGGGGCGCGTTTCCACGGCGCGGCGAACGCCGCTCGGAACGCTTGCGCTGTAGGCAATTCTATGGGTTGGAAGGAGTTCGTCGTGCTGTCCTGCTGTGCCGTGCTTTCCTTCGAAGACTGTTTCTCAACTTTGGCCGTGTCGGCTTCGACGGGGGCGCGCTTGGCGCTTGCTGGGCGCTCGGCCGCGGCGGCGGCACGTTTGGCTTTGACGCGTTTGGGATTTGTCCGGGCTTGTCTCGGCGAGGGGAGCCCGAGCATCTTCAGGGCATCTGGGGACTCGGCACGCCGTTGCTTCGGAGCGGAGGCCGCTGCTTTGGGACCTGACCTGGCATCGCGGGACTTTCGTCGACTCGGTGCTGGGCCGGCGGCGAGCACATCTTCTTGGAGAGCTTTGTCATCTGAGACTTATCGTCAGCAAAAACGTGAAGAGGCAATTGGTCGATGAGAACCTACTGGCTATTTCAACTTCAGGGTCGGTCGTGGTCTGACATGTCGTGACGGCGCCATCCAGCTGGACGCCGTTCGATGTGCTGGTCTGGCATGTCAATCCGGCTTCGTTTCCAGATGTTGTCGCTGCCGTCGCCAGGCAAAGTGCGTACACCGCACTGAGAATGACAATCGAGCGACGCATCGTTTCGATCGGTCTTGTCCAATGTGGCTACGGTATCCCTGCAGATGAGCCGATGTCGATGGTGGAAATTATCAGACAAACTGCCGCAGCGAGCAAGTTCGATCGGACGTGATGGAGCGTGATAGCAGATGAGAAGCTCCAAATGAGATCCGCCAGGCGTAAATTGCAATCGATGCGGAAACGTCGACGAGAAGCGAAAAGGGCTAGTAAACTGCCCTGGTGGAGATGGTAGTGATGGTGATGATGTATCGGTAAGATGAGAGACGCGGTGGGCTTATATGTTTTGCCGTTGGAGCTCATATTACGCAGGGCAGAGGCCAACCGTGACCGTCCTTATGGGTCACTGACATCTTGCCCCGGTCCAGGCGGAGTACCACTCTGCGGTCGTGAGGATTTCTGGCGAGAGAACAGCGGTTGTGGCGGCGGTCACGGTGGTTGACAGGAGATTACATCCCAGGAGCCATGGGAGGACAGGTCAACCAGCTGGATGGGTTTTCTCATCTGCTCGAAAGAGATGGACTTGTGCGAGGGCCGTTCAGGTATCCCGCTGTCTTCTGGTCATCATGAACGGCCGTCGACCCCTTGATATCGATTCGGTGCCCACTGAGGACCTGGACCGAAGAAACCCATGGGTGGCAGGCAGGGCCGATATTGAGATGCGCAGGTCAGCCTTCTTTGCAATATGTTAGCCAGCAATCATCAGTGCCGGAGACGCGAACTGACCCTCAGCGGCGCATCTCGTGTGGTTCAAACGTTTCTGAAACGTTGACCCTGCCGCGGAGTACGGCTGGACAGCTCCGAACTGGTGAGTGGGCTAGCAATAAGAGCTGGAGCATTTTGTATTTACCCAAAGCATCTGGCATTTTATTTTTCACAACCATGGGTATGCATTGAGGATGCTGGTGGACATCGTCAAGATCGTCGCTCATCAAGGAGAGCCTCTACGCGACAAGCATTTCGATTGCAATAGCCTAGCTTGAGAGCATCTCCGTACCTGCATCACGAGCATGCACCGTTTTCCACGTGATAGCCGCCTAACTGGACAAAGAGCTTAGTGTATCGGAAACCGTGTCGTGAAGCATACATGACTTTCATTCTCAATGTCAAATGCATCAATTCATCCGTGTGACGTCGAACAAATCGCCCCGCCCGCAAAGACGTCTCAAGATGACGCTTACCGTATGCTGACCAGGATGCCCTTGTCATCACATGATCCTTGTTGCAGTCTGTCAACTGTCAAGTTCGCTCGAAAAGAACGACAATTTCGTGAAAGCTCCACATGTGACGCAGGGTGACCTGAAAAGCAATCCTGTCCTCAGCAGGGGTAACAAAACGGTCGACCGCTGATGGCTCTTCTCATGGTGCAGCTATTCACGTGCAGGTCAGATCATTGCGGAAGCAGAAAGGCCTTTGCTGGGGAGGGATATCTGTCGCATCCCCGCCTTTTTTTCTCTTGAGTATATGCCAAGCGAGCGCGGATGATGGATCCGGCGCCGGAAGATGTTACAGAGATCCGAAAACGGCCCTGCCATCATTTTTGATAACCATTTGCCTATTCAAAAATTTGCTGGCATCGTCGATTGGTTCTTTAATGGTGATGCGAGCTCGAAAGAGAGACCATGATTCGGGACGCCTAACCCGAAAATGTAAAATGACAGATCCACCATGAACCACCCCTCCGGCATTTTTCGCCGAAGTGATGTGGATATGATACTCAATTTCGTTGCCCCACTTGATATTGCATCAGAGCTGCTTCTAACATACGAATCTGGGTTTGTAGTTTTTCGTTGTCGAGGCGCAAAGACACAATCTGCGCTCGAAGCTCGGTGATTTGGTGTCGCTGACGGTCACGGTATGCCTGCTGTCTGATGACGAAACTTGTCAACGCCGTCAACCCACAGAACGTGTGCTCATCCATTACTTACGATGCTCGGTTTTGTTCTCTTCGGCGAGTTTGCTTGCCAGCGCTTGCGAAACTTGTATCGACACTGAAAATACCCCCTTTGCGAGAATTGGTCTGTTCGCGATACATTCTCATCAATTCGGCGTTGACTTCCTGATCACACAGTTCCATGTGTTCTGCTGTGGGGGCGGATGTCGGCTTTGAACGAGCCATTGATTGTGACATGATCACATCGACATTGAGAATTTCATTGTCCGAAGCAGGAGACAGCTTCTCGTGGAGGTTAGTTGGCGAGGTCAGGATAAATGATAATGTAAAAGGGGCTTACCGAAGGCCACCAGGATATCGAGCCATCCGGGATATCAAAACTCGAGCAGCTGCTGTCAGGGCTGTCTTTACCGAACATGTTAAAGGTATTCATTTGAAGCCTCGATGGAATCTTATGTCGAAAAGATTATCAACGGATAATTATATTCTGATAGCGGAATCGTGGGAGTCGGCCAATGTTGATGTCTAGGCGGAGATCTTGCCGAAGCATTTATCATTTGCCTGCCGGTAGCGCGCATCCTGAATATTGGAAAGGGACGAGACAACATCGGTCTTGGCGAAGAGATTGATGGCATTCGCGATGTCCGATGGCTACCTACTTTACAGACGCCATGTCCAATGGGATGATGCTAGACGGCCGTCGTCTTTTGAGACACCGCTGTCTGCTAAGGAATAAGCGAGCAGCATGGCTGGCACATTGGAAAACGCATGGCATGCGTGGTTTTGGGTTAAGGATAATGCGAGCCAGGACATACGGCATGCTCGGGACGACTGAAGGACAACGAATGGGTGTTTCGAACCCCCAGATCATCTCCACGGGCGCGCTCTTTGCATATCGACCACAGGCGAAACGTACGCCGGAGCGACTTACCGTTGGCTTGAAGGATATTACTCATAGCACAAGGCGATTGTCACATGTGCTGGCTCGGCCACAACATCAATGCTCAACTTTCCTCGTTGGCGTGTTTTGCAAGGCGCAATGGACAAGCAACCTTGCATCGGTCACTCCGGTGGCTTGCTCGAAATACACACCAGCTCAACTAAATGAGGCGATATTCTTATAGAGCACCCATATGTCGTTGAACGTCCACGGAGGTCGCCGATGAGAAGAATCTATTCATTCCTCGAGACCGGACTGTCCGGTTTGCAGGACTTCAGCTCGGCTCCTGATCTGTCAAGCGATGAGTATATTGTGGACGAAGTAGCAGTATGCAGAATTTGGCAGAGATTTATGGCGTTCTGAGAAGACCCCCAGCAGACGTGCCGACGCAGCGTTCGTTATTCAACTAGCGTGGTTGTTTCCCTGTTCATGCTTGTTTCCTGTACGGGGCTTTTGGACCACAGGTCAGGAGGCTTCCACTGCCAAGGCGTATGTCTTTTCGAGATGCTGTTGTGTGCTTCACCATCATGAGGTACTCCGCATCTTGTCTGCACGCAATCTGCGAGTGCTACCATTTCGAGGTCGTGTCGGGCTTTGGGGCCGCAGTGCAAGCCAAGCCATCACACCACCGCTTCTCGGATGTGTATTTGGTTTGATCCGTCGGTAAACAACCGAGAACCTGCATCTTGGCAAACGCAGCAGGGTGACATTCTTCTGGGGCGAGTGACATTTTGGACGACATTGTATTGTTGATGACAGGGATAGGCGTGATGAGGCGGGAAACGGGAGAAATGAAAGGAGACTGGTGAAGCAATAGAGAGGAGGTATTTGAACAAGCGACTGGGCGAATCCTGGCGCATTTGATGGCGTCCCGCCCGGGAGACAGAATCGCCTGAACACGCAATGCTATTCAATTTGGAAAATGTTGACACGGCTTCAACTCGATTTTGCCAACGGTCTGAATAATCGTGCTCAGAGCGAGAACGTCCGACTTGAAATGCAGGTAAAGTGTTGGTGATAGGCCTGCCTCGAGGAAAGCGCGTAGTCTGTCTCATTGCACGCGCCCGCCCAAGACATGCCCGTAATCGCGTCGTGAATGTGGATCGTCACAGCCTTGAAAGGACACCGTTTGTTTCCCTCGTCATGCCTCGCGATATGGCTCACTTCTCAATACATCGTTTCTGATGGATGACCATCGTGTTGACGGCGGCGCGTTATCATCTTCATTACACATACCCACACGCAATCACATTGCGATTCCAAGACTTCCAACCCCACATGCCCCACCTCGAACACGGCACAAGTCATGGCCGGAACGATAAGAGTCGAGGAAACAATCACGACGGGCGGACGACCTGAATGAGAAGTATTCCAGGACACGCATCTTTCAACAGCACAAGAACACATCCTTCCTCGACGAAAAGATGGCTTCTCACTCACACGACCACCAACACTCCCATGAGGGACACGCGAGCCATTCCCACGCCGCAGGCGGCGACCACGGTCACACACATGAGATTCTCGACGGACCGGGCTCATTCCTCGGCCGCGAGATGCCCATCGTCGAAGGCAGGAATTTCGAGGAACGAGCATTTACCGTCGGTATCGGTGGGTACGTTCCGGATCCTCGCACGATCAATTGGCATATTCTCCCAGCGCTGACTAGCCTGGCGGTTCCACTACAGACCTGTTGGTTCTGGAAAGACCGCATTGATGCTCGCCCTTTGCATGGCATTACGAGAGGAATACAACATCGCCGCCGTCACCAATGACATCTTCACGCGCGAAGACTGCGAGTTCCTCACGCGACACAAGGCACTACCAGCGGAGAGGATCCGTGCCATCGAGACGGGAGGCTGTCCTCACGCGGCTGTCCGTGAGGACATCAGCGTCAACCTGGCGGCCTTGACCGACCTCCACCGAGAATTCCGTACCCAGCTTCTACTGATTGAAAGCGGCGGTGACAACCTCGCAGCCAACTATTCACGGGAGTTGGCGGATTTCATCATTTACGTGATCGATGTCAGCGGTGGAGATAAGATTCCACGAAAAGGCGGTCCGGGCATTACCCAGAGTGACTTGTTGATCGTCAACAAGACCGACCTGGCGGAATTGATCGGTGCTGACCTCGGCGTCATGGAACGAGACGCGAGGAAGATTCGGTAAGTTCACGTCGCCGTCGCCGTTGCGTGTGCACCATACCAGCTTTCTAGCATTGTTCCTTGCTGATGTCCAATGTGTTGCACACAGAGAGGGTGGCCCGACCATTTTTGCGCAAGTCAAGCATGGAAAGGGCATGGACCAGATCGTCGACTTGATCCTGAGCGCATGGAGAAGTAGCGGGGCCAGCACAGCAGCAGGGAGCGTCGGCGGTGGAACGAAGTGAGAGGGAGTGTCGACCAAGAGACCAAGCCCTCAAAATCTTGCATCAGTCGGCCATCATCTCACTCCTTGCCATTACTACTTGAAAACAAGATCTCTTCCAGAAGAAATTCAAATGATCAACCTCTCACGTCGTCTCCGTCTCCGCCGGTTTCCACTCCTCGTCCTCTTTACTAACAATAATTTCCTGCACATCCAACCTTCCCTCCAGAATCTGCCTCCCGTTCACGAGATCATTCTCATCCGCCCTCCTAGCAGCCTCTTCTTCGTCCTTACAAATCCCACTCGCTACGTGCCGTCGGATCAACCTCTTCCGGGCGATGCTCTCTTCGACTTCGACGAACCATAATTCATCCATGAGTTCCGCCGCGGCTTTCCACTCCGGAGCGATTTTCCTCGCCGGATCATCTTCGCCTGTCTCTTCTCCTTCTTTCTCAGATTCTTTCGACGAAGAAGACGATGTCTTTCCCAGAGACAGATAATTCCCCTCGAACACCACGATGCGCACCGTGCTCGGCACCCCGATCCTGCCTTCCACCGGATCCTTGCCCGCATGGTCGAAACTCGGCGCATGGACCGTGCTGGTCTCCGGCAGGATCGGCTCGCGCAGTTTCTGCACCAGCGCGAGAAACCCCGGCGCATCGAATGTGAATGCCGCGCCTCGGCGAGCGTGGGCGAGGGTCGGGTTCGGCATCGAGGAGAGGTGGGCGCGCGTGTAGTGGAAGCCGTCGAGCGGGATGAAGGCGGCGAGGGAGAGATGTTGGCCCAGCGCCGGCGAGGCTTCTTTGTGGTGGTCGTTGAGGCGGGTGACGAGGGTTTTGGCGAGGGTGGTTTTTCCTGGAAAAACAGGAGTGGGATTTGATTAGATGTGTCTGACGTGCGGTTTTGATCCTCTGCTTGGGGTTTTCATTATCTTTCTTTTCCTGTCCAAATCGTTCTTCCTTCCTCTTTCTCAAATTCGTCGTTTCCCTCTCGTTCTCGTTTTGAGGGTTTCATGTGATTGCCTTGTGCTCACCTGATCCCGGAATGCCGCTGATCGCGATCAATAGTCGCTTACTCGCTGGGAGCTCTTCGTGGAGCTTCCATGCCTTGTCGACTAATCGTTGGACCTGATCGTCCATGCTTCTGCAATGCTCCGTATTCTGAAATTCTTCGTTCGTATTCGGTAGATTCTCCCACCTCAGATAGGATTTCTCTTGAGTCTTCGCCTGTAGTAGGGTTTATGTTATCCAACAAGACGGCGATGTTCAAAGTCGAATTCGAGGTCGCAGAGGACGAGGAGAAAAGGATTATCAGATCAAGACATCTTTGTACGACTGTCACCCGTCAAATTGCGCCTCGTCATTTCTGCCAATGTCGATCAGCGCAGCTCAGGAGATGGACTGGGAAAAGCTCGGCGACATGCAGTGCCCATTGAGCCGCTGTCACTATTACGTATGTGCAGGTGCGTCGTGCATCGCGAAACAATTCACGACAAGCGCCCAGAAGCGGCTTGCGGACGACATATTGGGACGACACTCTCGCCTATTGACTTCTGCTCTATCGGAGCTGATGATACTCGGATATGACAAATGCGGCGGCCTACCTATCCAGTCGCCCTGTGATCATCCAACACAATCGCCCGGCGAATCCCTGTCCGTCTGATCTCCATCTTCAAGAGGGGTTAAACTTCCGCCGATCATCCTTATCAGCGCTCTTCTATCTCGTTTCCCCCCCTCCTCCGGGCGCAAGATGACGCAGCCTCACCCAAAGCGAATCCCCGAATCTCGGAATTTCCTTGCCGGTGCCACGTGCGGAACCTCCAAGCAGAGTCCCTGCAGAAATGATAGAGTCTCCTCCGCTGTGGTATGCGACTTCGGCATTCAGGCCCGGTCACGCCGGTGGACGGTATAATAAATGGCGATGATGGACTTGAGCTGGGCAAGCGCGCCGAGATAGGGCGATATAGCGATAAACCCAATGGCCCGATGTCCACACTCTGGCGCGACAGATGGTTGAATCGGCAATGTGCTCCGAGACGCGAGATCGGCACTCCTTTCACCTTACCCAACACGAGATGTTTATATTACACGGATGCTACTATCACCGCCACACGATCCTCCTTTTATGCCTCGTTTTCCTCCTTGTCCGCCGATGTTCTGATTGAGCATTTTCCGCGTCGCAATTCATCAATCGCGGTCAAGAAGTCATGACGTCAGAAAGCCGGCCAAAAGCCGTGGAGAATGCTCGTGCACTGTCTCAACGGTGGTGGCTCTATCGCATGTTCCGGGACCATGAATCGCCGGGCCTTTGAACTCGCCGACGGTGTGGAGGTGAAATCGCGACTCGTCACAACAACCGGAAAATAGAGCACTGTAGATCGACATACTGGGAAATCTTGTCGCGATACTGTCTGTCCAGGAACGTCACGGCTTCGACGACCCTGCAGCCGCAACAGCTTTCAGTGAGCTAGCCATCGTATCAATCTCGTCCTCCGGGTAGGCACACGAGAACCATGACTTACTACGGTACGACCGATCGCGATGATAGCATTCCATCATCAAGATCCTCCACCGACACCACTCGGGATGACGATTCTAACCACACCCAACAACAGATGACCTGATCGAAAAAGTCGTCGATGGCGGCTACCTGCCCATCTTCCTCCTGCGCCGGGGCATCCGACAACAACTCCAGGAGCGGGTCAACATCATCAAGGCCACCAACTTGACCGAAAGCTACGAGACCAAGATGAACTACGTCGACCTCCTCCGGAGCCGTCCCATCGCCATCGAGACCGCCGCCGCCAACACCCAGCACTATGAGGTCGGCACCGGTGTCTTGTCCGCCTGTCTCGGCCCACGCATGAAGTACAGCTGCTGCCTGTATCCCAAGGGCACCGAGACCCTGGCGCAGGCGGAGATTGCCATGTTGGAGAGCTACGTGGAGAAGGCGCAGCTCAAGGACGGGATGACCATGTTCGACCTCGGGTGAGTCCAGCCGTGTTCCAAGCCGGGCGGTCTTTTGTTTTCCGTTTCACATGACAGTTCCTCCATTATTCGCTTCCGGAAAAAAAAGGGAAATAAAAAGATCCGTACTGATACCAATCCGTCCCATAGCTGCGGCTGGGGTTCCCTCTCCCTCTACCTCGCCGAGGTCTTCCCCAACTCCCAAATCACCGGCTTCTCCAACTCGCGCACCCAGAAGATCTACATCGACGGCGAAGCCCAGAAGAAGGGCCTGACCAACTTGACCATCATCACGGGCGACATCGCGGAGTACGACTTCAAGGGGACGCCGCAAGAGGGCGCCTTCGACCGGGTGCTCTCGATCGAGCTGTTCGAGCACATGAAGAACTACGAGCTGCTGCTCTCCAAGGTCAGCAGCCTGCTGAAGCCGCGCGGCAAGCTGTTCGTGCACATCTTCGCGCACAAGACGACGCCCTACGACTTCGAGACCGGCTGGATGACGACCTTCTTCTTCACCGGCGGCACCATGCCCAGCGCGGACCTCCTGTCGTTCTTCCAGAAAGACCTTAATCTGGAGCGGCAGTGGTGGGTGAACGGCAAGCATTACGCCAAGACCTGCGAGGATTGGCTCAGCAAGATGAACTCCTCCCGCAAGGCCATCTGGCCGCATCTCGAGGAGACGTATGGCACCGGCCATGAGACGAGCAAGTGGTTCCATCGCTGGCAGGTTTTCTATCTGGCGTGTGCGGAGCTGTTCGCGTGGGACGGCGGCGAGGAGTGGGGTGTTTGCCATTACTTATTTGAGAAGCCCGAGTGAGGAACCTCCGTCTCGTTGGGATTGAGGAGGGGAGTAGTTTCGCTTTTTGTAGTGGATGTCGAATCTGTTTCCTCGACGAGAGATTTGCAGCCGCGGCGTTGTCTTGCAGTCTTCCTTGTAGATCATAGAAGACTTCCCCCAAATTCCGCAATGGATGGTGGTCACGATAGATCCCTCGTGAAACGCCGCTCCCTCTGTTTTCTGTTCTCGATCCCCTCTCCATTCAGACATAAAGATGTTTACTCTGATATCTCCACCAATCGTCCCTCGTATCCGCCTTCCTCCACACGCCCACGCCCCCGGAGACCCCCTTCTCATTGCAACTCCAATGCCCACTCTCCACGTTCTCCCACCAATTCTCCAAGATGGCGACCAATTTCGGCCCGTGTCTCATGACGAACGGGTTGATATCGACCTGATACAGATCCGAATAACTCCGGCGGATGGGTCGGAAGTCGGAGGTGCGCGCGTATCGATTCGCGCCGAGGAGGATGGGCAGCACCAGCCGGCACGCGTCCTCGAAGGGGTTCTGCGCGTTGGGGAAGGCGTCGAGGTACAGCCCGCAGGGCACGCTCTCCAGCGTGGAGAAGGGCCAGCGGAACTTGGCCTCTTTGCCCGACACGCTGCCCGGACACCGCAGGAAGAGGAAGGGCATCTTCATGTTGCTCGTCTCCTTGGGGAATTTCTCCAGGATCGAGGTGAAGGGCTGGTGCACGAATTCGTCCGTCTTGGGCAGCCGCACCCCCGGCGCCAGGAAACTTATCTCCGAGGCTTGCGCGTGCCGGAGCAGTTCGTAGGCGAAGCCGTGCGGGATTTTGGCGGCGTTGAGGGCGGAGTTGGAGGCGATGGGCCGGAGGGGTTCTTCGGGGGTGAGGAAGGCGCGCTTTTCGAGGGATGTGACGAGCTTTTTCCATGCGGCTATGCAGTTGTGGAGATCGTTGCTCGTGAAGGGTTGGAGGAGCCAGGGGAGGGTGTTGGCGTTGGCGCGTTGCAGGGCGAGTTGTGGGGAGAGGGAGTCTGAGGGGAGGGATTGGTCTTTGGCCCGGGCTTCGTGGACTGCGAAGGCTTTTTCCGCTTCGACCATGTCGATGAAGGCGCTGAGGATGGCTTCGAGCTTTTGCCAGGGGAGATCGCGGTTCTTGCGGAGGTCGAAGACGTGGTTGTAGGTTGGCATTAGGATTGCGGATTGGGTGATTTGGTCATATCTTGTTCCCCCTGTGATCAGCGCGAATTCCCGACGTCACTGTTGTCCTTCAATAAGAAAGAGATGCCACACTTACACGATCCCTGCCGGATGCGTCACCAACGCCGGCGAGGTCGAATACAGCACGAGGAACCGATACTTCTCCACATGCTCCGGATCATGATCCTCATCCTCCAGCACCTCTCCCAGCCGGAGCATTTCAATCGGCGCGGCCAGCCCTCGGACGTGATAGAAGAAATTATGTTCGGGGACATCAAAGATCTTCTGGAGATAGCGCACCACCTCTGGATGGAGGACTTTCTGGAGGGGCTGACTCCCGTGTCGGCTCCACCAGGATTTGCGCGCCATCGTCGGGATCGATTTCCCGCCGCAAACCCAGCCGTAGAGCATCAGCGTGTTGTGGAGAGCGGCGCATCGTTCGACGTCGAGACCGATCCCTTCTTTCGCTGGGTTCTTGGAGGTTATGCGGTGTTTGGCGACGGGCGCGAAGAGGGCGTTGCTGGTCATAGCATATGGTCTTTTCCGGTTTTCGCTCGTGGTCCTTGTGTTCTCTTGATCTCTTTGGGCGCAGTTTTCCTCTTCGGATTTTCTCTTCAATAAACTGACAATCACCGAGCTAGGGACGACTCTTCTCGCTTGATCGATGTATACGCTTTCTGTTCGACAACAAAGGATGGGTATATCAAGTCATATAAGAGTCAGAGGTGAAGTGTTCCCGAGTAGACTCAGGCGGGGAAGAGCGACAGACTCGTTGACTGGAATAACGGAATTGTGCGCTTGTCTCAACCCGCCCAGCAGTTCTTATTGGCATCTCCTCGGTGACATTGCTCAAGATGCAGTTGCTCGACACTGTTATTGTAATAAACTCCTGGCAGACTCGCCTCGCTTTGGTATCTAGGTTATAGACGTGTTGAATGAATTCCATGTTTCGCTGGCGATGACGTATTGCCAGCAACTTTTCAAAATCCTTTCTTCATCTGATGAAGAGGCAAGCATTCACCTCCACTCATCACTCCAATTTATACTACATACAGGAGATGTGATCGATATCAATGAGAGGAGATATACAGTAATACGGTAAGTGACTGGCAGTCCGATCTTTGTGAATCTTGAGTACAGGGCATGTACCGCGACTCCAAAAGTATTACATATACAGGCGGGAGAGAACAAGACTCCAGGCGTGACGATGAGAGACGGGAATTAGCGGTCGCCCAGTACGACATGTCGGATATATGGCACAGGAGAGAAATCAAGAAGCTTTTCTAGAAGCCAAACTATATAAAAACAACAGTGGAGATCCCGACGAGAAAAGATCGGGAGTTTTCTCCGCTTAATTTTATTTTCCTGTAAACAGCAGCGACGATGGCGCTGTCTTCGCCTGTCCCAAGACTCGTCATCGTCGCAGGCGGTCAATCACCCGAGCATGACATCTCACTGCGATCTGCAAGACGTCTGTTTGAAGACTTGCGACAAGAAGGTTCCATATCCGTCCACGTCCAGATTGTGAGACGTGATGGAACCTGGCTTTCTCAGGGGGAGAGCGGCCGTGTGATCGTACAGGATCATGAAATTCCCAAAATCTCCGAGTCCGCTGGCGACCCTATGAGCCCTGGAGTCTTCGCGGAACTGGTTCAGAAAGACAAAATCGTCCTGCCGATGATCCACGGGGCTACGGGAGAGGATGGGACGCTACAGGGCTTCCTGGGTATCCTCGGGATCCCATACATAGGCTGCGGCGTCCGCTCGTCTGCAGTCTGCATGGATAAGGCTGTATTCAAGGCTATCGCCAGTCAGAAAGGCTTTCCCCAAACTCGATACATCACCCTACAGCGCAATGTCTGGCAACAGGCTCCTGCTTTGGAGAGCCTGCGAAACCTTCGAAGGCCGCTTGTTGTAAAGCCGTCGAGTCTGGGCTCTTCGATCGGCGTAGCCAAAGTAGATTCCGATGAAGAGCTCCAGCGTGCCGTCGATACTGCTTTGGAATTGGACTCGACCTGCATCGTCGAGGAGGCCGTCCGCACCATGTGGGAGTTTGAAATCTGCGCCATAGGGCCAACTTTCTCGCCCCGGCTGAGCTGCATCGGGAAAATCGTCAACAAAAACAGCTTCGTGGGATACGAGGACAAATACGGGGCAGAGGCGACCAACGAATTCGAAGTCCCCGCCGAAATCGCCCCGTCGTTGGCCGAACGGGTTCGGGACATCGCCAGGGAAGCATACGCCGTTTTCGGCTGCGAGAGCATGGCTCGGATCGATTTCCTCTACGACGTCGCGGGCGACGGGCTTCTCCTGAACGAGATCAACACTCTACCCGGCTTTACGCGGACGTCGTTGTTCCCGGTGTTGTGGCGGGAGTCGGGAATCTCGTTGCCCGAGCTGCTACGGACGCTCATGGCGGATGCGAAAGGTTGATGGTTCTGTTCGTGTCCATCTTTCCTCCCCGTCGCATGAGTAGGCGCACAGATACACTGCCATGGTTGCGAGCAACTCGTTGGTGACTCAACGAACGACATTTTTAGACATTTTGATAAATCGCTAATAGCGAAGTTGCAGTAGAGAGTCTACACAGTGACGTCACGAACTGCACAGCCAGGAGAGTCGATGGGAACGACCTCGCAAACAGGTGAGGGATTGTAGAGGGAAGTTTGGAGGTGCAGGAAGTCGTTTTCAGTCGGGAGGATGAGGAGTGGATATTATGTGAGGAGGAGAAGAAGGACGTGAAGAGTATGTGACAAGGGAAGGATTTTTGGGGATTCCTAGTGGAGTTTTGGTTGTGTGCTCAGGTGGTCTTTGACAATTTTCCAAGATCTTGAGTGTAATGCACTGTGGTTTTAAGAAATGATAGCGCAATCAGGACTCGTCATCCAGTGGCTTGCACCATCGATGTATGAAAAGATGGATTTTTCTTCATGGTGTATCTACTCTTGCTGACGAAGAAAGAAAACAATCTCCTACTTCATCGTCACCAGCTCCTCCGCGCTCGTCGGGTGAATCGCCACACAGCGGTCGAAATCCGCCTTTGTGGCGCCATTCTTCACCGCGACGCCGAAACCCTGCAGAATCTCGCCCGAGCCCAGACCCAGGATGTGCAGACCGACGACCTTCTCCTCCTTGCCGGCGCAGACGATCTTGTACGCGGTGGGACCCTTGTCCTCGGGCTCCATCATGGCGTAGTACATGGCAGTGAACTCGCTCTTGTAGACCTTGATGTTCTCGGCGCCGTATTTCTCCCGCGCTTCGGGTTCGGTGAGGCCGATGCTGCCGGCTTCCGGGTGCGCGAAGACGACGGAGGGGATCGTGTCGTAGTCAAGTTTGGCGTCGGGCTTGTTGCCGAAGAGCCGGTCGGAGAGCCGGCGGCCGGCGGCGATGGCGACCGGGGTCAATTCGTATCCTTTGTTGCAGACGTCGCCTAGCGCGTAGATGTTGGGGACGTTGGTGTTCTGGTAGTCGTCGACTTCGATGTGGCCTTTCTTGTCGGTCTTGACGCCGGTTACGTCCAGGTTCAACTTTTCGAGCTCGGGGCTACGGCCGATACCCCACATGAGGACGTCCACGTCGAGAGTACCCTTGCCGTTCGAGTCTTCGTAGTGCACTCTCTTGAGGCCGTTGCCGATATCCTCCAGTTTAGATTGTGATGAGTTCTTGTGGATGATGATCCCTTGACGTTCGTACTCCGCGACGAGCTTGTCTTGAATCAGAGGGTCGAATGTGCGGAGGAACTTGTCATGGCGGATGAACAAGTGAGTCTCCGTACCAAGATGGTGGAACATGCCAGCAATCTCAATAGCGATGTATCCAGCACCGACGATAGCGACCTTCTTCGGCTGTGTCTCGATATCGAAGAAGCCATCCGAGTCGATACCGAGCTCAGCACCAGGGATATCAGACTTGGTCGGGTGACCTCCGACGGCGATCAAGATGTTCTTCGCCTTGATCTCGACCTCACTACTGTCCTCGTTCAAAACCACCTTGACAGTGTTGGTGTCCTTGAATGATGCTGTTCCATGAATCCATTCCACCTTGTCGTTCTTCAAGTTCTTATCGTAGATGCCATTCAACCTCTTGACGTACGCATCCCGCTTGCGCTTGAAGTACGTCCAGTCGAAAGGTGCAGTCTCTTCGACATGGAAACCATAAGCTTTGGCCTCCTTGATGGTCTCTTTGATGGTGGCGGCATTCCAGGTGACTTTCTTCGGCACACAGCCGACGTTGACACATGTACCTCCCAACCGGTTGTTTTCAATGGCGATAGTCTTGGCACCATACATGCCGCTGGCTCGTCGCGCACTGGCGAGGCCACCGGAACCACCGCCGATGACCAAGTAGTCGCATTCCTTCGTGATGGGCGCCATGGTGGGGCTGGTGACGGAGAAATGTCGCGAGACGGAATCGAGACGCTGAAAGCTAGCCGTGCTGACAATCTTGCCAGTCAAGGCAGAGGATAGCAGGCGAGAGGATGTGAGGGAAGACAGTTTGGCGGTCGGCCGAATGTTCATGTAAATGAGTGTGGTTGCGGGTGGCATGTGTATTATGTATGGCGGGCGGCGGTATCGATATCGGAAATCTCGATTACGCGATCATCCAGTCATGTACAGTACGGGATAAGTTACAGTACAGTAGTACGTGTTTCTGGGAGCAAATATCAGATCGGAAATGACGTCGTGCATGGACAGAGGAGCTTTTATTTGACTCCGCCGAGCTGTTCCGCCCGCAGCTGCACCCAATCACGCCTTTGCGGGCAGCCATCTCGCTCACTTTTGCGGGCAGCCACCGACATGTACATCCACGGTTTCGAGACATCTAGATCATTTCAAGGGGATACATCGATGTAGACGGTTTGTAATTCACCTAGATAGCGCAGAATCTTATCGTCATTTCCATGTCATGACTGATATTTTGTCTTGCGCATGCCACACAGATGCCGTACCTATCAATGGAAATGGCGGACAAAAGTCTCAACATGGTATCCTTCGAAGAGGGCCGACGATGTGTCTTCGTCTCCTTCTGTTTTTCACATCCAATATCATCGTGTCATCCTTCTGGCGGAATGTCCGATCTGCGCTCGTATTCTCCTCGTGAGAAGACTGCACTTTTCCTCGACCCTTCGCAAAAGATGTCCCATTTCAAAACTCATGGCAGTCCAAATCGCGCGCGGTGATCTTGCCGCGGAGGGAGGAACCCGGACTCGTGCAAAAGCATTGATATGCAAACTGTTAGGCAATAGTGATGATGCCCATGTGAAGACTCGTTGATCGTGAAGGTTTTGTTCGTATACTTCTGTTCTTTGGAAACGGCTTGTTGGCTTCGATCGAACACCACGAATATGTCATGTCGATCACAGTTTATTCTGTTCTAACGATGGGAGACCAAATAGGTGTTGCGACGGTGCAGCACCTATCTCGACGCCCAGCAAGGCTGTGACCTGCTCTCATGCTAAACAATCATTCGATCAAGATCGAGCTCATTGTTGCCTGAGACAAGGGGCCATGAAAATGAGAGCGAGGCTGAATCCTCTTGGCCCTCTCATCAATCATCCACCCGGACTTCTTCGCTGCGGCAAACCTCTGGATTTTGCAGGACTCGTGCTGCTTGTTCCTCTCGCACAGCTTCGACATCGACTGCAGCGAGACCCATGGTCGCCTCTCGCTGCCTCACAAACAAATCGATGCGGTCCTGTCGTGAATTGACGCTCGACTTGTCTTGCCTCACGCGTCGAAGTTCTTTGGAAGCACGGTCGTGGACCAAATCTCTCTGCTCGATGAAATATGTCCCGGCGTCCTGCGCTCGACTGTAATTCATCGTTCCACCAAAGGCCGCCAGGATGATGACGCATGTCACAAAGTAGCCGTTCTTCATCAAGACTGGTTCTGTGCGCTCTTGACCCGCACGTCGGGCATGCCAGCGTTCCCAGTCCTCCCACGTTGCGTTCTGCCAGATGGGATCGGCGTTGTGCCAATTCTGATTGAAAGGTCCCGGAGGTGGATATGTGGCGGATTGAGCCCAGCTCTGTTGCTCGCTCATAGATTTCCCAGTCCAGCCGGCCCCCAGTTTATCGTAGGCATTTCGCTTGACCGGGTCCGACAAGATGGTATGTGCCGCTACCACCAGCCGATATCTTTCCAGCCTCACCCCGTAAGAATCATCCTTGCTTGTGCATCGACCAGTATCCGGGTGATATATCTTGACAAGTTGGTAGTATCTAGCCTTGGTGTAAAGCTGTCCTTGCTTATGGTCCAGAATTTGATATGGCGTGGGGCAGATATGTCCCTTCAATGGTGTTGGCCACACATGTTTGTTAGTCTCTGAACTCTCCTGTCGTGCTTCCTGCTCTTGCGCATTGCCTGCGATGGTTGCGTAGTAGCGATGCGAATATTCCTTCACATATGCTTGGTGTCGCGTGATTCGAAGTAATGACGTCGTTGATGTTGAAGCGCCCGGCGGGTGGATTTGCAGAGCATTCGAAGCAATGGCGAGTCGAATAGGCTTATTGGCAATCATGGCCGGAAAGATGAGCATCCACCCGACTCATGGCGATGTCCCAGCGGAAATTGAATTATATAATGTTCTCGATCCCGAACATAAGTTTGAGGCAGTTTGCGAGGCTTGTGAGGATTCATGCAGGAAAGTACTCACAAGCGTGCAGATGCGCTCCATCAGGGTCTTCCAGGCCATCTTGTGCGGTCCGATCCGCCTTCTGATGTACAGGAATCGATCAGATCTGATGAGCGGGTTGATTACTCAAAAGAAACGATAAGATAGATCATGGTCGAACATGTAGAGGCGTGCACTCAACATATAGCACCATTGATCATTGAGGTGATGCAGTATCTGCTTAATCATCGGCCGCTCAGTCCGGTTTTGCTCGTGTCCGTGGGCAGGAGGGGACGTATTTGAGCAGATTTGCGCAGTCAGCCCCGCAAACACACAGCAGCGTTCTCTGTTTTGAACGAAATGCACTCATTCGTGGTACACCGTGTCAACTTCATGCATGAATCGTGCCAGCTGAAGACCAGATGGCGCATGAAGTATTAGACTCAGCAATGGGAATTTCAATGTTCATATCGCCGTGTGAGTACCCAACATCACTTGCCGAGAACCTCAACCTTCCGCACATCGATCTCTCGACCAACTCAATGTGGTCGGACGTGACGCAGGACCTTAGTAACGGGCTTCCAACAAAAGCTGGAACTAATTTCCCGATCTATGCTGTATGGGGATTTCAGACCATTGAGACTAAAGTGCGCGCTTTGTGATCTGTAACACACATCGCAATGCTCGAGTTCTGATCTCCGAGATATCTAGACGAGACGGCTGGACGAAACTGTGTTAGGGTTATGCTGCGAACCTGACCCTAAATGAACGCGAACGGATTCAGCCTCGGGCTTCCGCCCCGACGCGTGCTATTCCAACCTGCATCTTGACCTGTTCAGGAGACCTGTGTCGTGTGTGCTGGGTGCCACATTCAACAACTGAATCAGCGATCAGATCAAACATATCTAGAACATGGCTGTCCAGGGCAATCGTGAACCGCTGATCTCATGGCGGCGGTCTTGCTTCGTCCTACTGGCGATATTGTTCTTGACATTCGTGGTCAATAGCCTGCCTCGCACACGGACAAGCACGCCCTCTAGTCCGCCATCAACCATTGAGTACGAGTTTGGCGATGTGAAAGCTGACAACGAAGGCGTCGACGGTCTTACGGATGCGCAATGTGACGCTCAGTTTCCAGAGTTATATACCGATATTGATCGAGCTGCTGCATACTGGAAACGCATTGGTCATAAAATCACCGCATCAGATGTCGACATTAGCCAAGTCAAAACTTGCATGAGGATTCTCATCCACAACAATGAATTGCGGATCCTTGAAAGCAAACATGCTGTCGATCCGATGGGCTCATCTCCAGATCGTGCCCTTGGCGTTCTGCATCTGTTTCAACGAGCGCTTGATGCGTCCATGGCAGCTGGCGAGCAGTTGCCCACTGTCGAGCTCGCTTTAAATTTTGAGGATGCCTCCGAGACTCCTGAGACTCCCGGTGACACGCATACGTTCTTGGCAGCTGCCCGAACCATCGGAAAAGAATCACATGAGCGTATCTGGTTGATGCCCAACTTTGACTTCTGGTACTATAAGCCCACCGGTTCTTTCAGTGATGCCAAACGGGACGCCATGCAGCACGATGACCACTTCCGCAGCAAAATCGACAAAATCGTCTGGCGAGGAAACCCTTCATTCAACGCGGAAATCCGTGGTGGACTCATCGAGAAGACCGCCAACAAATCATGGGCGGATGTCGCATCGGTGCAGTCGTCCGAACACTGGATGAAGGTGGACGAATTCTGCGAATACGCCATGACCGTCTACACCGAAGGCGTGACCTATTCCGGTCGTCTCAAATTCTTGATGAATTGCGATTCTCTTCTGTTCGCCCATGAGGCTGCCTATCAGACACACTACTCGCATCTACTCAAGCGAGACGGACCACAACAGAACTACATTGCCGTGAAGCGGGACTGGAGTGATCTCGAGGAGAAGGTCAACCACTATTACAATGATGCCGACGAAGCGGCCAGGATCATCACCAATTCTTTGCAAACTTTCCGCAGCCGCTACACGACACGTGCAGCGACATCTTGCTACATCCGAAAACTGATCCGAAGATACGGTGAAGTGTCCGAGGTTCCAGAAGTCCACGTATCTATGAAAGACAGCAATGGTGTCCGACTACGTGGGTACTCGTATGAGAAATTCATGGACAAGCCCGCAGATCTGAATTTTGAAGCTCTCGAATGATACAAAGTCGAATAGTCCCTGAGCTCGATTCGCAAAGCTTGGCCTTACGATTGCGTTGTACCATACCAAGGATTTGCAGAAAGGCACCTGTCTCAACTCTGTAACTATAGTGACCCATCATATACACAACCATTGAAAGCTGCCCTCGCGCTAGTCTCAAAACGGTTTCCAGCTACCGACCTCGGGAGAGCTTGGATTTTTTGGAGTTCGCCATTCTTGATGCTGCCCAGGTGGCATTTGAATATTCAGTAATCGAACAGTGCTACTCTGTCAAGCAGCTTGTCTCAGGTTTTCTTTAAAGCTGTACACCCGTACTGGGGCCGTCTTCTGAAGCCATACCATACTCAAGGGAGATCAGGTCAAGACGAAACCATGGGATCGACGCCGCCAGGTCCAGAGCTTGTTGCTCTGTTGTTCAGCAACGAGCCTATAGATACCCCGGCATGGCAACCGCTCATAGACGAAGCAACGAAACAAATTCAAAAGCATTTCCAACCTCCATTATCCGAGACTGCAGCCCCGAAGATCAAATTTCTCGATTCGCAAGCAACAACATCGACAGCGCGTATCGCCGAACTCGTCATCTCTGTTGGTTCCACACCAAACCTTGCTGATTGCAAGATCTTTGTCAACCATGCAGAAGCAGATTTCTGGCATGCAAAGGGAGTGCAGATTGTCCTACAGCCTAGCGTGCTCTACGATGTTCATCGCATCCCCGGTCTCGCTGTGTTCGACATGGACAGCACCCTCATCCAACAAGAAGTGATCGATGAGCTCGCTCGCGCTGTAGGCTTGTACGAAAAAGTCGCCGCAATCACCGAAGCCGCTATGCGCGGCGAGGCCCCGTACACCGACTTCACAGCATCGCTGCGGGCGCGCGTAGCTTTGCTCGACGGAGTGCCCACTAGCATCTGGCAGCAGCTTCGGGAGGGAACCATCACCTTCACCCCCGGCGCAGTCGAACTCGTCAAATCATTGCGCCAGCTCGGCTGGAAGACCGCCGTGTTCAGCGGCGGTTTCATCAACCTCGCAAGCTGGGTCAAGGACACCCTCGGACTAGACTACGCTCACGCCAACCACCTCGTCAGCGACCCAGCACGGAACGTCCTCACCGGCGAACTCGTGCCAGACGCCCCCATCATCCACGCCGAGAAGAAACGAGAACTCCTCAAGCACTACGCCAGTGAGCTGGGAATTCCTATCGAGCGCGTCATCGCCGTCGGCGACGGCTCCAATGATCTCCTGATGATGGGCGCCGCGGGACTCGGCATCGCGTTTAACGCGAAGCCCAAGGTCCAACTCGCTGCTCCGAGCAAGCTGAACACCCAATCTCTGCTCGATGTCATGCATATCCTCGGATACACCGCCGAAGAAGTACAGGCGCTCGTGCAGAAGGCGTCGGTCGCGTGACGCTGAGCCTGATGGTTGGACTTCGCACTTGGATCATTTCTTGTCAATGCTCGGATGTTCCGACCCGTGATCTTGGAAGCGCAGAATTTCCTTGGGATTGGCAGTCACTTTTCGGATGTGCCGAACAATGCGGCGCGAAAACGATTGGCGGGGTCGATTGGTAGATCTAGTAGAAGGGCTACTCGGCCCAATTTATTACATGGCGTGATGTTTCCACTGGCGCCACTTTCATGATTTTACGTCAGACGAGTTTCTTTGCCGGTGTCGCCACAACCGTTGCTTGTTATCCACGGAGGCTTTCTGGCTCATCAGCACTGGCTAATAGAACCATTCAGATTTTGTCACAATGTACACAAAACTGGAAACTCCCAGCATGAGAACCTTGAAACCTTCCAGGGTTGAAGGTCGAAAGGTTTGGGGGACCGATGACTAATCCGACGAGCTTCACTTTTGATGAGTCATCAATGTCTCTACCTCCAACCTTGTGAGGTTAACATCCTATAGCATAACACAGAAGACCCACGTGTCACGTTGTTATTCGAGCAATCTTCACCACATATCAAATTCACCTCTGTCGTGCATAAGAAGAAAGACATCGTGCATTCGTTGTGCATGCTTCTCATGTCGAGTCGCCGCCAAGACGCTTCGTTAGCTTCTAGACGTTCCATGTATGCACGTGGGGACCGCGAGATTCACTCCACCTGGGGCCTGCGGACTCCGTCCCCATACAATTCAAGCAACCCTCGCAAAGCTTGGGCGTGAGATGCTTCGGACTCGCATCCGCATCTGGATAAAATGTCGGGCACGTGTCGCTCAAGAGGCGCTCGTCTCATCATGAATCGCTCCGTCTGCTGGTCTCTAGGCCTCGATCCTTGCTCTGCCCTGCGTGTCTAATCTTCGCACGTGTGACCCCAGGGACGAGAAGCTTTCTTATCCTGCTACAGGGCTGCAGTTCACAAGCTCCATACCATAGTGAACAAGCACGTAGCAGCGAACTCTCCGCTCTTGTTCTCACCCGTCCTCGTGGTCGGCGAGGCGTTGTGGCTTGAACATCTCCTGTTCGCTTAACATCGAGCCAGTACCCATGCAGACAAGATGCAGCCGCCAGGAGAAGCGCCATTGGCTGTGAACGTGTCTCGCATCTCTCATTTGAGGGCCACCATCAGCATGGCGCGCCTTCGTCTCGGCTGTGCTGACTACATCCCAACTTTCGCAGAGCCCACTCTGCTGTGGAAGCTGTATTCTCATCGGCCAACGCCGCTTTTCGTATTCATGGCGTTCCCACCCGGAGCGCCCGCTCTTCGGTGAAGGATGGTTCTGGTCAATGTTTTATGCACAGGAGCGGCGAGAGTGCTTGGCAAAGAGGCTGTAGGATCGACCTTGCTTCCATCAGCGCCGAGGCCGTATCGACCTGAAATGGTGGTAGAATATGGTTTGTATATAAGTATTGACGAGCAAGTACGTCAACTTCTGGCTTGTCGATAATTGCTCGCGGACGGCGGACTAGAACCGGAAATCGAAATCACTTGAGTGCAGGCTCCAGCATCTTCCGAGCTCTGCTCAATTTCACACTTGAGGGCCACCTCCCTTACCCATCATGCGTCCAGCTCTCCTCGCTGCGCTCGCCGGCCTGGCTTCCGCGCAAGTGCTTGACCTCGACTTTTTGAATGCTATTCCCGACCCGACCTTCACAATCGCCTTGGATCAACCTGCTCAAACAATCGCCTACAACCCCGCTGCTGTGATAGCCAGCGATGCCGCTGCCGTCGGCAATGAGTCTCCGCTCGATGTTGTTGTTGCTGGTCCACAGAAGCGCTCCTCTGGGGCACAAAGCTCGGTCCTAGAGGCTCGCCAAGCAGCCTGCGCAGCTGCGCCTACGACCCCGAACATCTACAACGCAGTAATTGACCCAGCGGAGTCGTTCTCTGCCGACCAGAATCTCGAGCAGCAAGCTCTGCAGGCATCGACACCAGCTCTGTACACAAACACCTTTACCAACCTCAAGGCTGCGGTCACCGCACACGGCTACCTTGGGTACAACCTGCTGCCCTCATACAACACTACGCAATGTGCAGCAAAATGTAACAAGATCAAAGGCTGCCAGGGTTTCAACCTCTACTTTGAACGCAGCCCATCTGTCGTCCCTGGACCCAACTGCCGCGATCCGCCAGGAACTCCCAATATCTGGTGTGTTTTCTGGGGCGGTCCAGTCTTCCCCGAGGTTGCCACCAACAAAGGTCAATACCGAGCCAGCTACCACGTTGTGATCTCTGGCAGCAACGGCTATACCCTGACTTCCACTCTCGGCCCCTACCGGACCAAGGCTATTGATGCCCCGAAGACCAACTGCAATAATGAGACTACATTCCTCGGTTACCGTCTTTTCAACGACGGTGCTCCGTTCGATGCCAATCGTTGTGCGGCTGTTTGCTCCGAAACCAGCTCCTACAATACTGTGCATAATGCCAACTCCAGCGTCGCACCACAGCTCTGCAAGTTCTTTGATACCTACCTGATTTTCCGTAATTGGGTCAGCCAGGGACAATACTGCGCACTCTACTCGCAGTACTACGACCCCAGCGTGTACGCCACCAACGGGGGTTCGACAGACGCCAAGGGGAACGTCTTCACCATCGCCTCGAGCGTGTTCTTCAGCAATGCGACCGATATCGTCACTCCTGTTTGCCCTTCGGACGTTGCTGCTCTCCAAAGCGATGCCGCTGCGGGTGCTTACTGCACGAGCGTCAACTCCTACGTGGCACCGACGACCACTACTACCACCACTCTCCCTACCAACACTGTGAAGGCTTGTGGTGGCGCCGCTAAGATCGCGAAGCGTGACTCTGGTGAGGATGGTCTTGTCGAAGCTGTGGTCGGCATTTACCCCGAGAAGATCGATCCCTCGATCACGGATGTCGCGCCCGCAATGGTGACAATCCCCGCCGAGTCCTTGTCTGTCCCGAGCATTTTCGCTTCTGCATCGTCTGAGGCGATCAGCTCCCTCGGTTTGGCCGAATCGACCGCCACCGCCTCCGCGACCGCCAGCTCCGCCACGAGCACTGATGCCACGATCACGGCTGCGAAGAAGCTTCGTCGGGCCGTGGCCACTCCTTCTATCCTGGCCGGCCGCGACCCCCGAGAAGTCGCATCGGTCTGCTCAAAGGTCGCAACGGGAACAGCTACCTCAACCTCCATCCTCCCGGCACCCACCGCCTACGACACCTCCAGCTGCAACGTCGTCCCACGCACCTGCCCAGACCGCACTCCGGCCTCGATCATCGCCGGCTCCTATACTAGTTCCAACCAAGTCGTCGACGATGTCTACTTCACCGTGAACCTCCCCTTCCCCGTGTGCATCTACTCCAAATGCTCCAGCACCGCACACCCCTCGTCAAACGGCGTCCTCGGCCTAGGCTCCTCCGCAACCATAGCCTACACTAACCAAAAACTCCCCTGGGGCAACGTCGTCCACGTCGGCGACTCCTTCCTCTACCCCTTCTGGGATGATCTTTTCATCTACCTCTACCAGCCCTACTTCATGGACTACCTTGTCTGTGGACCAATCGGCTCCCGCGTCGTGTCCTTCAACTGGTACCTGGCCAAATACGGCGACACCCAGCGCGTCGCCAAGTACAGCTTCAGCGCCATCTTTTACGAAGCGAAACCCGGCGTCATCGATCTCAAGTACTACAGCACGCCCGATCAGGGCAGCAGTGCCACGATCGGTGTCGAGGGAATTGATGCGAGCGGTAGTGGTAAGCTTCCCTGCTCTACTTTGACATCCCACTCTTCTCCGAACCACAACTCGAGGAATCTCAATGGCTGACTTGCTTCCTTTCTCATTAGTGAAATTCTACCAGCACTCCTTCAACAAGCCCGTCATCGCCAACGGAACCAATCTGACCTTTGACACCCGAGGTGGATATTTCGGCCCCACCGTCGCTTAAAGGGCATGGAGGAAAGAATTTTTGTGAGGGGTGGGATAGCATTTGTTTATTTTGCTTGTTCGAATAGACGATCGCTTCTAAAGCTATAGCAAAGAAGTTTACAAAGTTTCTTAAAAGTACAGTTTGGATCAAGGCACAACAAATTGCTGTTCAAGGCTGCTGAGATCTTCGATGAGTTCAGAGCGCATGTTCTTTCGAGCGCAAATATCACCACTACGTCCGATTGCCGCCTGGTCAGCTCGTCCAGGTCTACACAATCAAAGCCTGAGGACGTGCTGGCGCCTATGGTGCTCGCAGAAACCCTCGGCATCAGAAATGGACAGGTTCATCCCTTTAAGATCAATGGAACTTTGGATGTACCTTGCTGGAGCTGCGTGTTGCAGGCGAACATAGCGGAGAAGCATTTGCGTGTGCCTCTTTGCATGTTTACGTTTATTGCCGTAGGACGCTGTACTACGGTGAGTTGTGTTCCGAGAAAAGGGAAGGCTCGACCTCACACGACACCGTCTGCCGCATTCGTAACAGTTTCGCGTGAAGCCTTGTCCGCCCTCTTCTGCTCTCGCAGTTTCTTCCGAATCTCTCGAAGATCTGGGGGCTTCTCAATCCCAAGTCTACTCCGTAAAACATCCACATCCGTCTCAAGTTCCTCCTCCCAGTACACATTCAACACCTCCTCCGCCTGCACGCCATTCCGGATCGCCCAGGGGAGATATGTAGAGAAGAAGCGTTCGCGCTCAATCGCCTTGAGCCGGACAACCGCCACCAGGGATAGCGCGGTCATAGGCAATAAAGTATTCGCGAACTCGAATGCTTTGATGGCCAGCTCGCCCTCGATGATGACCGGTAGCCCTGTGATCGCATGCGTGAAGTCATGCGTTTCGCGATATCGTTGCATCACGTAGGCTTCCTCCGGATCGTCGATGTAGCGCACGTTATCCCGGGTATCGGGCGTTACTCCCTCGCGGTCCAGCCATGCCGCGTATGCCCGACCGACGGTGTTTTCCGGTAACAACCTGAGCTTCTCCAGGTCCATACTTTTACTCGTGATCCGTGGTTTGTCCTTTAGGATCCGTCGTCCGGTGGGGTTCGCAAGCATGGCGCGGCGTAGGCGCGAGACGAAGTATGGCTTTGCGGTGGCCTCGCCCAGCGCGGCGATGAGGTCATGTCGGTAGGGATTCTTGAGGGATCCGAAGGCCGATCCTATCGCCAGAGCACCGCGCTCTATGAGGTTGAGAGGGACATGGCCTGGGTAGTTGGGTTGTGGACGGTTGAGGACGGAGAAGCACCGAGTGCGAATGTCTGGTGGCGTTTGGAGGATGCGGCGGAATGTTCGCAGCGATGATGTTGCTGTGCTTTCCAGTGCGGACATCACGTCAACTCAGAGTCCTCTTGGGTCTTCATGTGAGTGGTCCTTGTGATTCAGTGAAGGCGTTTGATTAGACGCTGGACTCGAATGATAAGTGCCATGCATCGAGGTCTGCGTGGTGTTCATGTTGCTGAAATTAAAGCTTCGGCAGCGTGCTGACGCAATCGGCTTCGTTCGTGTTCTTGTCACGTTGCAACCACGATCCTCTTTATTGCTGCGGCACATCTCGGAGCAATTTATTTTAGATAGAAAACTTCCACCGACGACGGCTCCGTCCAGCATGAAAAACAACCTCACGACATCATGAAGCACCTTTTTGCGCTTCCGGCGCTCCTTCGTTCGGCTTCACTGCTCGTGGCCGCTTCTCCACGTTCATTCAGCGTCAACGACGACGTGCTCGCATTTCCACAGTATGACATTCATTTCTCCGAAGATTGGACATCAGAACATGACGCGAATGTTCGACTTCAAAATTCACGAAACCCACATGCAGGCCATGTCGCGCGAGACGACCAACACAATCTCGATGGAGAATCCTCACAAATCGGCCAGTACAACCCACCCCCCGCGAAAGACGAATCTACAAAGGACACCGCGCAAGCCACAACGGAGTTCGATTATGAGTATATGGTTATGGAAGGCCAGCGCTGGCTATGTGCGCTCCCACGACAGGTGCCTGAACAGAAAACGGCGCTACCAAATGGAACCGTGGCATTGAATGCCACACAAGCGCGATTGGACGAGGAGAAAGAGCTGGCACGGGCGGCGACCCACGGATGGGAGCTATTGGACGGTATGCAAGGGAATTGTATCTATTACAACACCGGGTGGTGGAGTTATCGCTTCTGCTATAATCAAGGCGTCAAGCAATTCCACCAATTGCCTCCGTCCGGATCTGTACCGAAATACCCTCCTCAAGAGGATCCAGGCGTGGTTGGCTTCGTACTAGGCGCGTATAGCAAGAAGGACAAGCAAGATCGTGAAGGAGGGAAAGCAGCGCGAGCGACGATTGAGTCAACGGGTGAAAGCGCTGTGGAGAAGAGTCTGGGATCCTCGATGAAAGTGCAGAGTCAGCCTGGGTACGGAGAGCTCGTCCAGCATGGCGACTCGACATATCTCGTTCAGAAGCTATCAGGAGGTACAATATGCGATCTTACTGGGAAGGATCGGAAGATCGAGGTGCAGGTAAGCATTCGAGAGATCTCCTGACATAAAACCCACCCGAAGAATGATCACTAACTTGAGTGCGATTCGCGATATAGTTTCATTGCAACCCACAGGTTTTAGACCGCATCGCGCTCATCAAGGAGACAAGTACGTGTGCGTACCTGATGGTGATCCACACATCACGGCTGTGCAAGGATGTCGCGTTTCAGCCGCCGCAAAAGGACCATCCGAATCCAGTTTCATGCTCTCCCATCCTCGCCGATGACGAGGTGGAAGAGTACAAGAGCAATCTCGCCACATTGCGGGCTGCAGCGGAGATAGCCAAAGCAGCGGCTGCCGCAGCTGCTGACATACCAGAGGCACTCTTCACAAACGGCGAAGACCCAGCCGCACAGAGCAAGATGATCATGGTCGGCGACATCATCCTCGGCGCACATGAGATTGTGCCGCCCGGGTATGAGATTGAGAAATCTGCCATTGTCGGAGGAGGAAAGGAGATTTACGTCGATACGCTGGTCTCTTCAACAGGCTCGCGTGTCTTGAACAAAGCGCAGTTGGAAAAATTGGGAATCAAAAAGCCTGATCAAATCGAGCATGTGGAGAAACTCGTGAAACAGCTCGAGAGAGCGGCAGATGGCCGACCTTGGAGACTAGATGTGTTCGACACACCGCGGGGCCGGGAGTTCATTGGTATTCATGGTGAAGAGGCCCCATCGCAGAGCGGGGACGATTCTGCACAGAAGGAAAAAGATGTTGATCGAGGAAAGCAGAAGAATCATAATGATGCGCAAAAGGCGAAGCAACATATGGCTACGACGACTACGACTACGACGGTAACGGCTGCGACGACGACGTATGTTACGTTGCCACAGGCAAATGAGAAGCAGAAGAAGCAGAAGAAAGCCAAAGATGAAGGTAGTGAGGAGGAATTCTTTCGTCAGGAGTTATGATCAGCGAAGATGTATAGTAAACGAATTGAACGAATCGAGGAGACTTCGTTCGACCCGAGCATCGACATCTCCCGCGAGCACGGCATTCCGATCACAAACCGCGATTCCTTTTGCCATCCGTTGAAACGCATATCTACCGAGTCAGCTACTGTACACACGGTATCGTCAAATCTCATACGGTGGGTTACCGTTCCTGTTCGGAATGTCCATGCGCGTACAATGAAACGGTTGAGGAACACTGTCATCGGTTTGAATGTCCGACATAGTCCTAGAAATCCACGCACCAATTGGACACGCCAACGTGGATATCTCACAAACCTTAACCACACATCAGGCCCCGGAAATGTCATAGATTCGGGCATTGAAACGCTGCATGACAAGATGGTCGAGGAATGAGTGTCGGCCTGAATACTCGCGCGCTGATGACACGGCCTTACAAGACCCACCGCACCAATCGGACACGCCGACTCGGAAACCTCAAAACCTTATGCATCCGGCCCTAGGGCTCGGCATCTGAAGTCCATGCAAATGTCCATCGAGCGGCCGGATATCACGACCTTATTATCCTGTTCACCATTTTCTAAGGGAGCCCGGTATTTCAACCACGAAAAAATTGTGGAGACTTCAAGTCATCACAATCATTGCGGAGACCTCAAAATGGGAAAAATGTGCCGAACGACCGAGCCTCAAGACAGTCATTTAGAATGACTCATTTCCGAAGAATGGTGAGAATTGGTATGTGGACCAAAAACCGCAGACTTAAAAGAAGGCAATTCCACCTCAATATTGCTTCCAATCCAACTCGTCTCATCCTTCATCATTCAATACCGCCGAGATGCATGTACACGCAGTGCTAGTCGTGCAATGCCTTGGGGCTCTGGTCTCCGCCTCCTCGGAGATCTCATCATCCAGATCAATCCGACAGTATCTGCATCCGTCGTCTCACGGAATCGCATGGATCGATTGCAGCTCCGAAAATGATACTCCGGGTTTGCAGTGCGCGAACATCACGGTCCCTCTCGACTACCGTAAACCCAATTCCGGTCGGCATGCCACTCTCGGTCTCATGCGGCGCCTTGTGAGGAACTCTAGCAAGAGGGTTGGTACTCTGTTCTTCAACCCTGGCGGTCCGGGTGCCATTGCCTCCAACGAGCTCATCGGCTCCGGCTCCGGCCTCATGCCGTTCTCTGACGACCTGCGTGATCATTTCGACATTGTTGCAATGGATCCGCGTGGTGTCGGCATCAGCCAGCAGGTCCGCTGTGATGCCTCCCTGTACAACACGGCCATCCGCATGAATCCTTATCCTGGCGATCAAGTGGCATTCGACCAGATATATGACGCTTGGCAAGCTTTTGGACGAAGTTGCGCAGATATGACAGGAGAACTCCTGGCCAACGTGGACTCCGTGACTACCGCGCGAGATTTCGACTTCGTACGAGCAGCGCTGGGAGAGGAAGATTTCAATTTTCTTGGTCTATCATACGGTGTTGTCCTCGGAGCAGCATACGCCGAGCTCTTCCCCGAGCGAGTGCGTACTTTGGCGCTTGACGGAGCCGTCGACCGTACGCTATCTCAGCCATATCTCGTACTGCAAGACAGCCAAAGTAACGAGGCTACTCTTGAGAAGTTTTTCCAATGGTGCGACCGGAACACTGATTGTGCCGTCCGTAATACATCATTTCCGACGTCAAGTCTCTACCGGGATCTCGCCTCGCGAGCGTCTCACCACCCACTGACTGCACTCTCCTGCCAATCCCCATCATCGAACTGTTTTCGTACTGTCTCCGCGTCCGACATCTATCTCAGAACTCAGGTCTTGCTCAACGTTGCTGAACGACCTCGTAACTCTAATCTAACACCAACATCCTGGTTCGCTCTCGGCAAGGCTCTCCACGCGGCCTACTACAACAATGACGCATCCGCCTTCTCCTCCGACCATTTCCGCTTCGACAACCAAACCGGCGCTCTCGGCTCCATCGCCATCTGGTGTCTCGACGTTGACCGTACCATCACCACCTTCGAGCAACTGACCAACCTCCAGCATCTTCTCAACTCCACCTCGCCCTACACCTCTGGTCAGACCGAAGCCTATACGTATATGCTGCAATGCATGGCCTGGCCGCACCCAGTTGTCTACCCGGACAATCGCTTCCATTTCGACGCGCAGAAACTTCCACCTGCGTTGATTGTGAATGCCCTATATGATCCGGAGGCGTCGTATGCATGGGCCGTCGGGGTTGCGAATGCTATGCCACATTCCCGCTTGTTGACGAGAGACGGCGCAGGCCACACGAGCTATTTGCTCGGTGGAGAGGCGAGAGACTTGACGGATCGGTATTTGATCACGAAGGTGCTGCCGCCGCCAGGAACGGTTGTTCACTCTTGAAATTTGGACATGAGCCTGGCACCAGAGAGGCCCTTACGAGGAGAAAGTGACCACTGAAGAAGGCTTCCGCTGTTGGGAGCGAACCTTTTGACCTTTCAGTACTTTCGCGGAAATCGGCTCAATGTGGTGTTGTTCTTCCATTGGAATGGATCTCCGTGTAGTACACTACTAGGTATTCGAACACCTCAAGTCGATACTAATGATATGAATCGTCTTCTTTCATGCTAGTTTGCTTGCTGAAGCTCTAAAAATTCGCTTCACGATGTCGAAAGCTGTCTCGAGGCGCACCATGAATGCAACCATGCTAATTTCAACCATCCTGCGCAATCACTTGATGTAACGCAGAGATGAGTTCCGTACATGCCTGTGAGTGGTCTCAGCAAAGACTCCGCGACCATCTGCACATGTGAATTGAATGTAACCCCAATTTTGGTTTGTCGTTGACATTGCCCAGCAATTCATTAAAACATCGTGTCTTTGATTCACGCCCGGACCCTAACGAATCTCGACGCTGGCGCGAAAGCCGACGTCACGACTTAAGCCCGCCATCGTGCTGCCTTTGGCATCGTATATGTTCCAGGAGCATGAGGGCTTCATCTAATAAACGATGGAGCGTTTTGTGAGCTGAATAAATATCGTATGTACATGTTTAACGAGTGAGATCGCGCGGCTGGCTTGAAAATCCCGTTACTCATAAGTCATCGCATCTCCTCTGCGACGTCACATCCACGACGAAATCCTGACTATCAGTAATTCATCGAGATTCCAAACAACAAAAAAGCTGTATCGACCCAAAATCTGCAGCAAGATCTATTTGACGTCGCCGACGAGCTATGAATGTGGAATATTGAGGCTCGCAAGTATCGATGCAATATTCCTCACGTACATCCCGAGCATCTATAAATCGATGCTCGCTCGCTCAATCGGACCAAGAAGTCCCGTCGCCGCTTCTTTACGCAGCATCCGAAGAACTACTTCCCCCAATACAAGGACGTCATCTCTCACTCATCGCACAATGTCCTCCGCTCCCGACCCAGCGGATTCCGTCGGAGGAAGGAAATCCGCCAAAGCCATCTTCGCCCCCAGCGGCGCCGACGGCACCCTCCAAGCCGCGCAATACACAAAGGGCAGCCTCGAGCGTAGCCAACTCGTCTCCGACCCACTGGAGCAGTTCCACACCTGGTTCTCACATGCCGCGGAAGACCCCTCCACGCCTCACCCGGAGACCGTAACCTTGTCGACCGCCTCCCTGCCGAGCGGCCGTGTTTCCGCACGAATGGTCTACCTCAAGGAACTCGATGCCACGGGGTTCGTGATCTACAGCAACTGGGGCGCGCACTCGGGCAAATCGCGGGATTTCTCCAGCGGAAACGGATGGGCGGCGTTGACGTTCTGGTGGGAGGCGCTGGAGCGCCAGGTGCGGGTCGAGGGACGCATGGAGAGGCTGTCCGACGCGGAGAGTCAGGTTTACTACGATGTGCGGGCGCGGGGGAGCCGGATCGGCGCGTGGGCGAGCGAGCAGAGCAAGGTCCTCAAGGATCGCGAGGAACTCGAGCAGCGCGTCAAGGATGTCGAGAGGAGGTTCGAGGGCCAGGACAAGATCCCTGTGCCGAGCTTTTGGGGCGGTATGAGGGTCGTCCCGGAGGCGATGGAGTTTTGGCAGGGGAGGGAGTCGAGACTACACGATCGGTTTCGATATACGAAGGATGAAGCAGTGGAGGGGGGATGGAGGATTGAGAGGTTGAGCCCGTAGGTGGGAGAAAAGGAAGAACTCAGAGAGAGAATCATGTAAGATCAAATTGCTACTCAAAAACGATCGAAATCGCGAGGGTATCTACGCTGGTAACGCATCGCGAAGGGCCATTTTTCAAACCGCACGCTCGCTTTTTGGGAAGCAACATCCTTTCCGGACAAAAATTCAAAGATCAAAACGCAGATCCGCCCAGTGTTTCGTCAATCATCATATGGCATCTCATCAAGATCGTTCCATTTCTTTTCGTTTCGTCTCTTTTGGGTCGCCGAGTCTATCGGCTCTGAAGCCATCTGCGCTGCAATTCCTGTGCTCTACGTGTGGCTTCACCCCGCGATGCCGCGGCCACCTGGGCCTGGCTGGCGGCGTAATTCGGAGGATCCTCTTCGAATTTGGGAGCTTCCTCGCCGGGGAACAGAGCGATGAAATCTATCGACTCCTGACGAGCGCGATGGCCACGGTGTGGGGGCGTGAAGGTCCGGTAAGCGCTGCTGGTGGCTGTAGGGGTGGTGTTGTAGAGTTCTTGTTGTTGATGTTCTTCGTCTCTGGCGTAATTGTTGTTCGGGTTGGCGAAGAGGGGGGTTGAGGGTTGGGATTCGAGGCGAGGCCAGCTGGCACGTCCTGGGCGGGTCGGGGAGACGAATGCGGACGATGGCGTCTCCAGAGGTGAGACTTCGAAGTAATGTTGGTCGCGAGAGGGATGGCCGGATGATGAGACGGAGTGGGTCAAGCGACCGGGAACGAGGGAAGAGGGAATGGGCGACATGGGTGTTCTGCGAGAGGGAGTCCCGAGTTGAGACACTGGTGATACCAGACCTTCGAAAGCGTGCGAAGTGGCGGCAGGGGCGTAGTCGACCATCATTGCCTCGTTTTGGGCTTCTTCTGCGAGGGACAGAATTTCTTCTTCGGGAGTCAAGAAGCCAGCCGTCGCTTGTGCGAAGAGCTCGACGTCGGACAGCATTGCATCCGATCCGGTGAAGACGACGCTGTCTGTCTGTCGGCGTTCCCGTGGTTGCGGCCGTGGTGTAAATTGGAGTGGTGCGACAGGTGTGATGGGAGTCACGGGCGAAGGAGCCCAAGCCGCGATTTGAACGACGCTCTGAGTGTCGAAGGATCCGAGATGATTACTATCGACCACATCTGAGATATCCATGACCGAATCAAGTCGATAGGCTGAGTTCGGTACTGATTGAAGACCCAATCCGACAGCACCAGATGTATCATAGTTGTGAACGAGTCCACTGCCCGTTGAGCGATCGAGCGGCGGTGTCAATTCAAGTTGTCTCCGAGTGGGATAGTCAGCGGAACCATCTATCGATCGTCTGACAGATGAACTCGTCTCGATCCGCTGTCGCAACTTTGACTGTTGCATCTCCCATGGCGGAGCACATAGCTGTTGCGGGCGGTATGCCACTGGTACTTGGTTCCAGGCCGTTTGGGGTAGCGGACTCGAGCGCGGTGGTGACGGGAGATTCGGAGGCGCAGTTTCTACGATGATATGTGCAGGTTGACCTCGCTTTCGGCGTTCGCGATCATGTGATGTTGATGAAGATGATCGTTTGAAGGGCCAGGCTTTTGGTATTGAGAGCCGCGACGACTGTGAGCCAGATGTGCCGTCCATAGTGGTGGTGGTGACCTGAAAAGACTGGATCTCTTCAAGTTCAAGTTCCTTCTGCAGGAACTCCGAGCGGATAATGAATATGTACCAGGGATTGCCTCGCGTGAGATGAGTTGCCGGCTTGGCCAGCTTCGATGCCGACGAAGTGATGGCTGAAAACCAAGATCCGCCGATGAGGTTAGCGGCCGCGGAACACGAGAGCCAAAAGCAAAACGCAGAGAAAAGGTCGACACTTCAGTCGGATGATGATAGTGGAGACTCTCTTGCGCCATATGCAGGTTATACATTCATAGTGAATGTCAGTGGAGACTAAAAATCCAGGTCAAGGGTTCTCCCGCGGTACGTAGAATCCGTAGTCGAGATGGTAGTGTGCGATCAGGAGAGTGAAGGGATCGAGAATAGAATACGAGACCCCGGATGGCAGGGTGGAGTATATAATCTTGTGTCACGCAGTCGGTAGATCTTCCCCGGTGCAGTGGTGGTTTGTGGCATCGTCGTAGTGCATGTCCTAAGCATAACCCGTCCCGGAGGCTGACCGAGCCTTCCGTCCGTTGCTGGTGGCTATGTATAATCTTTGGCCCAGGCGCAGAGGGGCGTAATGAGTTGCCTCGTGAAGGGATTGTACAGGTAGAGTATAGTGTCGACGGGTAACGAAAAAAACCGTTCAGCCACTTCCGCAATGAGGCTGTTGGCCGGGCGTGCTGAGGGCTCCAGGGCTGTCTAGGGAGACAAGTATGTATAGGGCTCACTCCTCCTGGCAATGCTCGTGCTTCTTTTTAAGTTCCCAGCGGTTGTCCATAGCGGATCAGCTGCGGTGTTGTGACCGTCTGCAGTATCATGATGGCGATCCTACCGTAGAGCACACCAAGTAACCATACAGTGTGACAACTCCCGTCATGTTGGTCCGCCGAGTGATTTCGCCATATCATCCCGATGTTGACCTCCTCCACATCGCTCCCTGCTTGCCGAGGGAGTGGGTTCGGAGGCGGCGTGACGTTACGATTCTATTCTTAGGGCCCGGCGAGTTATTACCCTCCAGGGCTCGTATGAACTGACCGAGATGACCGGCCTGGACCGAGATACCCGATTTGGTGGGAGTCTCCCAGACATAGGTAACTACATAATTTACATAAATATAGCATTGTAATATAGCATACCGATCTGGCCCACCGACTATATGCCTACCGAGGACTTTGGCATGGCGTGCATGGGTAGGAAAATGGAAGATATTTCTTTGCTCTGCTAGACTCGCACTCTTCATGCAAGTGGCGTTCTGGAATGGTCGCTGCACGTCAGATGAGGACCTTACAATACCGTCATAACCCAGCGTGCCCCAGCAGGAGGCGCACGCCAATCCCTCATCGTAAATACATCTGGTTGGACGGCGCAGAATGATACCCAATTCGGACGCTCGAATACAATTGCTCTCGCGATGATGCTGACAGTATCAGGACGTGGCGAAGTGAGAGAGGCTCATCGTTCGACTTCTCTCATGGCCGCCATTTGCGTGAGGGATATCCCAGTGATAAGCGAGAGACATGCGGTACATGGCGAGAGTCCCTTGTTCCGCGCATGTTGGACACCGTTATCCAAAATTCGACCTACGGCGCATGAGAGGTTGGCCTCGAGACATATCAGTCATATGTGCGTAACGAGAAGTATTGTTATGGGTGTTGGCCAAAATAGTTATCACATATAACACATTCAACGGAGAGGCGGAGGAGGTGGCTCATCAACTCGGCAGGGCAGAGCGGACGGTGATGGGTGGGCAGCAGCCTGACCCGGGCGGAAAACCCACACACGACCAGTCCCATCCCAAAATAGATTCTCCGCCAAGACAAGAATGTCCTTTTGCCGGCAGATCGACATGCGATCGCGACTTCCCAAAACGGAGCTTATGCCGGTGAGAGAGAGATTGAGCAACAACTTTCTTCGTCCTTCTCGGCTGGAATATCTCTGGCTTCATGCACCTGTCCATCGCGCATTTCTGCAAATGGCAGCATTGGCTGTTTTCAGATGCGGCACAGTACGGGAAGAAACGGTGATGGGGTGACGCGGAGGAATTCCGACACTTTCCAGATGACCAGCGGTGACCCATGCATCTCCCCCTCCTGGAAAACCATCCTTCGCATATCTCCGAATACCGATTCCGAAGCTCCACCTTCACATTGGGGATATGTCGTCGATGATGCGTAAGTTCCAACATCGAGGAAGCCACAATGCGAAAGCGATGGACTATAGCACAGGACTTGCCGAGCGACCGTTGCGGTGGGACGGCCAACATCGCGCTTCGGACATGAGCGATGAAGGATGAGCAGTCCTTCAACCTTTTCTACGTCGTTGGTGTGCGCAACAACTTCCAAGATGAAGATCGTCATGTGTCCAAGCAGAGGTTCGTTGGACTTGTGAGCGTCACTCCCCGGGTGCCCAAGCCCAATCTAGCGAAAGGTGCAATGTTTGTTGGTGTGAGATGCGCAATTATTCCATTTGCTTATTTGTTGGTTTCTCATGGCTAAGGCCTTGCCGGACTTTTCTAATTACGATCTATGCATATCTCGGGATCTGCATCGCTGATGCTCAATGCCTTACCCAACATACTCTACATGGAGAATTAGCTGCGGACCAAAATGCCAGAACAGGCCATGCATTGCCGATCGGAAACAAAATCTCTGATTATATGGTTTTGTCTAGATTGATGCGAGTTTCTCTACTATCATGACGACAATCACTACTGAGCCTTACGCTTCTCGGCCAGCTTACGCTGCTTCTCGCGCTTACTCAACTCCGCCTCGACTCCAATCCCGCCAAAGACCAACGCTACGCCGAGCCACTGCATTCCACTCAGACGGTGTCCGAACCAGACAACAGACAGGATCATCGTCAGCATCTTCCGTGTAACCGTCACTGTGACCAGGAGCAAACTGCCGAATATAGACAAGGTCATGACTAAGGTGCGCGGGAAAGCAAGGGCGATCTTTGATTAGCTTTTTCCGGAACTTTCGCGCGAAGGCATGTCTTTACGACCCTAGGGCTGGAAGGATTTTCAGGGCAAGTTAAGGGAGGGGACTCACAAATAAAGACCTGTCCGAGAGCACCGCAGACGGCGAAGCCGAAAATGTCCCAGCCAACGGCCGGATGGCGCTGGATGAATGAGATGGCGTTCTGAAGTTCGCCGGCACTAGCGGTCAGATCGACTCCAACTGCAGCTCCAATGCCCGTCTGTGCAATGTAGGGGAGCAATAACAGGTAAGCCGACGTCAGGACAGTGGAGACCGAGTTCAGCGCGCACTGCATCTGCTGCCCGCTGTAGGGGCGGAACGACGCGTAGATGTCGTCCTGGGTGGAGTTGGTCAAGCCGTCGAAGAGGAGGTTGACACCAAGCAGCAACAGACCATACAGACTGTTACCATTGCTACTCTTCTTCTTGGAGCTCGCGGGTTGATACAATGTAAAGACCGTGACACCGCCTGTGACGAGCGCCACGACGGCATATTTGTAGAAAGGGTAGCGCTTGCCGTAGAGCGTCACATGCAACAGCATCACGGGTAGCAGCTTGCACGATTTGGCCAGAATGAAGGTGATGTAATCGACATGCGCGAGACTGGCGTAGCCGAATGGAGAAGATAATGACGAACAAATTGCGACGAGTAGTAGTGGCCAAAAGATCTTGCGTGATGGAAAAACGGGGAGGTCGGAGGCGGATTTTCGAGTGAAGCTCAAATAGACATATCCCAATGTGACGGAGAAGAAGGACTGGACGGTGTTGACGACGACAGGGTAGCGGAAGACTTCGCGGTTGGTCGCGGTGCCGTAGTTGGTCGTGGTGATTCGTTCTTGGAGGAATCCCCATGTCAAGCTGATTGATGTCAATGGGAAAAGAATCGTTGTTAGACAATCTGAAAACCACACATTATTCTTGAACGGAGGATCAAACTTACAACGAGGCATAGATCCCCGCCACGCAGATGACCAAATTCAACGTCGTCGCAGCCGATTCCGTCTTGTCATCGCTGTTCAATGCGAAATCATTCTTGCCCGCGAGGGTTCCCAAACCGTTCGGTTTTGCGGAAGCATCGCCATTCTTGCTTTGGCGTTTCCGGACGCTTCCTTTACCACCCGCCATTGTATGAAAAGATCAAGCAAACAAGGGAACAAAGGAATGAAATGTAAATGATTGTCGCCGGAACCAAGCCTTGAGTCTACATCCAATGTCCTCGAGATGATAATACGCGATCTTCCCCAAGACGAAGGGGCGTACACAACGCTAGCCCTGATTAGGCAAAATTGGACCAAAAGCCAACTGTTGCGAGGACTATTTTGGCCTAAGGCTGTGGCCTCAATTGTACCTGTAGAAGAGGCTCATCGTACAGTACAGGGTACACTGCGTGTGATCGTCAATTGTGCGTTTGTTTCCATGTCTGCTGCACTTTTTGAAAGAAGTCGGTTTCTACGGATATCGGCGAAGCAAACCCGGACACTGTAGCGGTCGAACATGGAAATCCCCTTCCTGGCGTATGTTTGGACGACTGTCTGCCGTGACAGAACGTGCAGAACCACGGCCCATCTTGACGAAGGTCTCCTTATGAAACGGGATATCTTTATGTACATTACCTAGGTGTATGTCCAATGAGGACGGAGCCTTCCAAGGTTCGTAAGGTCCTCCTGTACAATACAGGTATCTTCCCTGTCGTCGCGCAGTTCTTTGGATCCGCCGCACCGCTCCGGCGGCGGCGGCTCGTCGGGCCGTCTTCTTTGTCGAGACGACCCAGCATCAACATTGTTATTCTGAGATCGTCTACGTTCGATTCTTCAATCGCCGTAAGAATCATAAGTCGGATTAAATCTAACAAGGCCTTCTCTACCGGACAAAACAGGAAGGTGGCAAGCCTGGACACGAGCCCTACAAGATTGTCAAAATTGCTGTGACCGTTATGCTTCTGAAGCCTGTAGACAGGCTGAAGAGAAGATTACGCCCATTTGAGACAGATTACGATTCGACACGTTCGCTGTGTCATCAGATGCTCTGTCATTACCACAACTAGATGGGACTCTCTATCAGACACCTTCCAGATCGGGGTGACAACACAACTGCCGGATGTGCGCACGATCTGCAATAAAATGTCCGAGTCGCTAGTAGATGGACATCACGTCCAGACCTGCCGCCTGAGGACAAACCGGAACGGCCTCCGCTCGGTCTAATGCTGATGCTGGGAGTGCACACGGTATAACATCGCAGCAACGTTGGAGGCGTCTCTACCCCTCACGAGGAATAAGGATGCTCGAAACAGGCCTTGGCGCTGGGCATTTGCCGTCGTCCTGGCTGACGTCCTGCTGCACGTCTAGACCTTCAGCTCCCGCACTTTAGGTATCGCATGTCGCGACATCCCATTTTCTGCGAATGACTGCTGGCAGGCGCAATGCGGACAGGCAAGTACACGCGGATAAGCCATTTCGAGCACCGCTAGGAAGATTGCAAGACACAAAATCATTAGGATCGTGAGTCTTGTTCTCTCGCATTACTACCCAAGAGAGACTTCAGTCAATCTGGTAGGTTGGTCGAAATCTTGAAGATGATAGGTAGGTGCGACTTGTACAAGAGCCAGTGAATTCGGCGGCAATTGGAATCACATACCTGCAGTGGTCTACATTGTCGCCCGCGTCGTACAAGCGACAAGTGACTGCCTCTCGCCGACAAAGGTCCGTGCGAATGCACGATCGTGGCACGATACAACATGCATGCAGCGGAAGGCGGGAGATTCACTTCCGCAGCATACAAGGCTGACATCATACGGATGACACTCCGTTCGCGAAAATTGCAGGACATATCCATGAGCTTGACGTGCTCGAGCGAGAAGACCATCCCGGTCTACACGCGGTCCGTAAATGCCTTCCCGCTCGAGAAGCACCCTTCTTGTCGCATAACCAAGTATCTGGGTCTCGTCAGGTCATGAGACTCATACCTCGGTTGCCATCGAAGCATATGTGAAAATTGTCATGATTGATGCGCTGACGTTGGCTTTTGAGGTTACACGAACGAATTAAAGGTTGCACTGACAGCTCCTGACGTACAATCACCAGGAATTTGTCATTTGTGCTCGCACCCTCCTGCGACACAAAAGTCGAAAAAGCTGACAATTCGTCCTTTTTACTTACTCCTGTCACGTCGGACAGAGTCAGACAATCCTATCAGCGAAATGTAAATCGAACGACAGCTGTGTCTGCGCCGGCGCCAGTGGGTCATGCGCGAAGAATCATGACGCCTTTTTTCGCTGGTTGACCGGGGTCGATACTTTGTTCATGTACGCTGTAGTTTATGCCATTTGCCGGCGCAATCCAACCCGACAAGACTGCACGCGTGACACCTTCCCTCTTCATCGGCGTCAACAGTAGACCATACCAAGCTGCTCGACTCCGCATCTTACACCGTACCGCTTTGTACTTCACGATGCTCTCTAAGCAAGGAGTTTCATCGGTGACAAGTCATATACACCACCTCGAGCTACGTATCACGTACTGTTGACCTGATCCTCTCAAATGGGCAGGATCAGATGTCTGCTCCCTCTCCCTTCTCCTCCGGTGCCTCCCGAGTGGTGGACATGCAGATGCGAAATGAAATAATGTCAGATTGTCGGACCCCATCAACCAGCTGTGCGACAGGATGGTCGGCGCATCCCCTCGACCCTCCTTGGAAGATCGCCAACCTTGCCATGAAGGGCAGAGCATGACCTCAGCTATATATTTACAGATGTCAGATCCCTCGTCAAGACGGAAACAATACTACATCTCCTCCACGACACTTCTGTGACTCCTAACATATCAAGCGACTGCGCCATCTTTGTCACAGCCCTCCTCAACAGAGCAGAAGAGAATATCATAGACCAACCAACCCTCAACCCCCATCTCTCACGATGTCCGCCGCTCCGCCTTCCGGCTTCACCGCTACCACCGCCGCCACCGCCGGCATGGGCTACACCAACAACGCGTACTACGCTAAGAACGCCGCCACCTGGACTCTGCACCCACGCTTCGACCCTCGGCGACAGGAATACCACTACTCCTTCGCGCTGGCTCCAGTCCGATGGCAAGGCCAACTCGAGGAATGCCTCCGATACACCCGCGCCCTGATCGCGACATATACCCAACACTTCGACCTGCACCCACACTATAGCAACGACACCGTGTTGAAGTGGTGGGATCTCTGGGTCATGGCGCCGCTGCCAGAGGAACTGCTCACGCAGATCCGGAACCTCGAGGGAACGCTGTATATCTTCCAGAGCCATCCCAGTACGTCTCCTCCCTCATCTTTCGTATTTGTCACGGAAGGAGGGCAGAACCCGTGCGGGAAGCTCTGACGCGAGTCTTTACTGATTCTTCCCTCTCCCAGTCCAAGTCACAGTGAACATCGGACCCGCATGGACGCCACGGACGCCGCAGCAATCATTGCCCGAATTGCAGCCGGGCTTGAGCTACTCGCTGCCGCAGCAGAACAGCACATGACATGGTCGTGACTATCATCATCATCATGTTTCACGATTGGCGATCCGAAGAGATCCACGTACCCAAGACCAGCCAAATGCGATCGAAGTCCCAGACAAAGGCAACACACGACCCAGCGGCGTGAGTCGAATTGGGTCAAGAGCGTCAAGGCTCTCGCTTTCGAAGCTTTTGTTGAGAAAAAGGGTGGGGACACATCAGGAGTGGGGGGTTTCCATTTCGGCGAATGCATGCCAGCGATCTTTGTATTTCTCTTCTCTTTCCCTTCTTCTGTACTTTCCTCTTCCACTTCATCCCGTCTCGCCATCAACCTTTCTGTCTCGGACTTCGACTCCACCCCATGTATGTCTGTCCCCGTTCTTTCCGGACCGGAACGACCACCGGATGGGCCGTTTTCCCCTTTTCCCCCATCCTTTTCTCTTCTCTCTCTGTATATGAGTTTAATGCAATGCAAGAAATAACGAAAGGAAGAATATCCACGAATATTGTCCCGTTCCACGTTTTGTTCTGGAAGAGAAGACCAAGTTTCACATCGTCTCGTGTGCACATGATGGCCGATGTGTATGTGTCGCCCATTGATCGCTGCAGTAGGCAGAGAAGACTTCAGGTTCTCGCGGATTTGACAAGGAGGAAAGAGAAGGGGGCAGAAATACGCTCTGCGACAGCTTTGGCATCGGAGACCGCAGACTTGGAGGTACGTATGGCACCGATCTCACAGCGGAGAAAACAAAAAACGAAAAAAGTTGAACAGCGATAAATTTGTGCAAGAAAGTGGTTTATAAAACATTAACAGAGGCAAAGGGTAAAAGAAGAAGGGGAAGAAGCAAGACGATCCCTCATCACGCCTCAATATCCTCCCCTCCCTGCTCCTCCCCTCCCAAATTCTCCGTCCTCCACTCCCCGCCATCGCAAGCGGTCAAATCGTGCAGCAGATCGGCCATGACGACGTCGATGCCGGCGGAGGCCTGGTCCTCGACGCCGAAGCCGATGAGGACCTCGTCGTCCAGGTAGCCATGGTACATCTTCCCGGGCTGCTTCCAGGAGATGCTGGTGGTGAAGATCATCTGGCTCTGGTCCTTCGGCTTGGTGGTGCCGGCGGTCCAGTCGCCGTGGGGTTTGCCCCGGCCGTGGTACCAGACCGGCACGGTGGTGATGGCGTACAGCGCGAAGGGCGCGGTCTGGCGGAACAGCATGAAGTACGGCTCGTAGACGCCGTGGTAGTAGAACGTCTTGGTCTGGAAGAGCGCGAGGATGAAGGTGTTGGCCTCGGTGGCCTGGCAGGCCGGGTCGGAGCGCCGGCAGAGGGTCACGGCGAGGGAGTTGGTCGCTTGGTGCAGCCACTCCGGGTAGGGCTTGGGGCGGATCTTCGGCATCAGTTTGGCCATGCATTTCGCGTCGTGGTCGGCGGTGGCCGGGGCCAGGTCCGGGCCGACGCTGCCGTCGGGGGAGAGTTTGGCGAAGACGCGCGTCGTCGAGGTCGTGTCGTAGTGCAGGTACATGTCGCCGGCGTAGTCCCAGAAGACGTACCAGTTCTTCTCGATGCGGCCGTAGGGGGGCGGGCGCTGGAGGATGGTCGGGTAGAAGAAGGCGTCGGAGAGGTTGGTGGTCGGGGTCCGGTGCCAGTCGGTGATGCGCCGGAGGTCCTGGATCCATTGGCCGAGACAGTTGAAGGGGGATTGGGACATCCAGACGATGTAGGGGGCCTTCGGGCCGTAGAAGACGCGGGCGTCGTGGGGTCCGATCTGGTTGTTGAAGTAGTCCATGTCCTCTGTGCAGAAGGTGCTCATCGTCGAGGCGATGGGCAAGTTCATGGGGGACTTGGTGCACGTCATCTTGCCGTTGGTGAATTTGGCGTCGCAGACCAGTTCCATGTTCCAGATGGTGTTGTCGTCGTGCTGCTTGTCCCTCTGCGCGATCATGACATATGTATCTTCCTTGTAGAAATGCGGCAGGAAATTCGGGTTGTATGATCCTTCGTCGATGAAGTCGACCATGAAGAACTTGCCGTCCGCCGTCATGTTCGAAAAGACCTCGTGATGTTTGATCTTTGTATTCTCCAACGAGGCGGCATGATTCTCCGGCGTGAGCAATTCCGAAATATCCTCAAAGTTATATTGACCATCCGCGCCCACGCCCGGAGGCTGTTTCTTCCCATCTGCCTTCGTCGATCCGCCGTCCTTCTGTGCCGACGGGCCCGTCACCAGATCTGTCCGTTCGAGGAATGTCGGAGGTTGTTCTGAAGACGCCCGGAGGATAAATCCGAGACCGATGACGAAGATGATGAACAGGCCGGAGGAAAACATGACGAGCTGTGACCTCGTCCTGACGAGCATTCTTGCGCGCGCGGAGTGTCAAGTCCACCCTACCGAGCCGGGTAGGTCTGAGTGGTGATGACCATGCAGCGGCGAGGGTGTCGGGTGCGCAATTCGGAGGCGCAGATTGCCTCTTGGGCGGTGGATCGCAAAGTCGATCGTCAATGGAAAGGGGGATTTGACAGTAGTCTCTTCTTGCGGCGATGTCGTGGGTTTGCCGGTCGTCGCGCGGGGACAAATTCGACGGAGGTGAATGCAGATATATGTCGCAATTAGGTCTATAATGTATTTCGAAGAGTGCGAGATGAAGATAAATGTCGTAGTCATGCATGGATTAGAGTGGTTATAGCGACATTAGAGACCACCGCGGACCCAAGACTAGAGGGAGAGAGACCCTGGACGAAAGCCTCGGGCGCAGGCGAAGTTGGGGTACCATTGAGCAAGTCCCCATACATTTTTTTGGCGGGGATCGCCATTAAGCTGCAGCATTCGGGGAAGCCATGAACATCATCGTTCAGCGATGGCGCCGCGCTATTTGTCGATGATTTGAGATATGGATGACAGCCGCCGGAACTCCCTCATGTCGGTGTTTGTGATGTTTTTCGTATAGTATATATTCTGGCTGATCGACTGCCGGAGACGTGCGTCGATGGTGTAGAGGATATGAAATGGTATACAGGCAATTCTCGACTTTTTAGTAACAGTTTGAAAATGAAGAAGCAAACCCCATCCCGACCGCGGTGAACGATGATAGTATAATGATCACAGCAACAACAATAACAACGCCCGCTGAATAGCTGAAAAACACAAGACGAGTCTCTCCGAATCACCTCTCCCTCCAACGTTCGCACAGATTCCTATTCGAATCCATCGCCACTACTGATCATCCGTCGTCGCGCTGCCGTCTCGTCTGTGAAGGAAAGTCCTGAGGTCAGCAGATGAACAGCACGATCGAAGATCCGAGAAAGGAGGGCAGATGTATTCTGACTCACGGGATATATTTCACGCCGGCATTCTCGGCCGCGGCGATATACTCCTCGGAGAGCTATTCCACACCTAGTCAGCCATGATCCTCCCAAAAGAGAGGAAATAAGATCGACTCACGATCCCATTGACCTTGACCGCGTACAGGCCCGGCAGGTAGCCCTGCAGGCGCTGCCACTTGGCGACCCAGCTGTCGTTGGCGGCGTGGGTGGTGAGGAACATGACGCCCTCGAAGACCTCGCTGGTGCAGTCCAGCACGACGTCCTGGCTGCCGCGCATCTCGAGGAAATCCTCGCAGTTCGGACAGCCGGACTGGACGAATTTGGCCTGGGGCAGGACGACGCTGCAGACGAGGCAGGCGCGGGAGGAGCGGGTCGTCATCTTTTGTCTGATTTTCGGTTGGATTGCCTTGCTTGGGTGGTTTCCTTGGCTTTTGTTGAGAGGTCGAGAGAGTTGCGAGCGTTCGAAGAGGAGGCACCCGGTGTAGTTGTTTCTTGCACGCGAGATGATCGATGGGAGAGGGTGATGAAAATTGCGACTTGCAGTTTTCTCGTTTCTAGTAAAGAATGATGTCTGTTCTTTCGTCGTGTTTTTATCTCCCCGTTGAAGTGAGAGGTCGGATATGGCGTCGTCAAGCCGTGAAAGATGATGTGGTAGGTGACGGAGAAAGCCAAGTTGAAAGTCGTGAAATGGGCTGGGGAAGGTGTTAGGGTTGCGCTTTTCGCGTCAAACCTCCCATTGCTGACGTAAAGTACGAATGAAAAGAGTGCTCACAGGCATACAGAGCAGGAAGGAAGGGCCTTAGAACGGAAATGAGTGTGGGATAACCCTCATCTAAACATCTACATGTGTAAAATAGACGCCTCTAAGAAGCATGCAAGACGAACAAATATAAAAAATCTTTTTTCAAGAAAGCGAAGGATAGGGATTGCTTCCATGTTCTCCGAAGTCCTCGAGGAGGGAGGGAGTCGATAACGTCCACGGTTGTCTCCCAATGTTCTTTTTGGGTCGGCAAGAGAGGCGCAGAATCTCTTTTTAGTTTAATTGTAAAAAGTGTTCATCACTTTACGCTTAATATTATCGACCTAATCAATACTTGAGGAAGAAAGAACGAACGTCACGGAGTTTATGATCATCGATCACCCTTTTCGTGAAAGCCAGGAAAAGGAAAGTGGAAAAGCAAAAGATTCGATCCGATCGATTCGATTTGATTTAATTCCTAATCTCCATCGATCTCGAGCCTCCTCTCTCAGCCAATAGTCCGTCCGAGAGAGCAAATGACTCTCCGATTAACAGGTTTCCATCAGACGGTTCGAAAGCACCTCATCATACGCAACGACTGGGTCTGTCTTCCGAGTCTCATGCCGCGCATTCCAAGTTCTTCGATATACGAAATCTCATCTTTTCCATCGTTCCATGCCGCGATTGATCTTTTTTTTTTCGGAGTGGATATCTAGGATTGATCTACGCCTTCTTGCCGTTGATGGCCTTGAGGGTGACGTCGCTGCAGTGAAAGGAAAAGAAGAAACGGAAATGTCAGCGGGATCTTCAGATGTGATGTGATGTGATGCTTTGTGTCGCGGCGGGTTTCGACGCCGAACAATCCTCTTTGAGGATGGGAGAGATGGTCGGAAACACGGCAGTTTGAGTCGCCGACAGAGGATGGAAGTTCGACGGAGGAGGAGGAAGAGTGACTCACAAGATCAAGGTCGCGTTCGGCGGGATGAGGCCGGGGAAACCGCGGGCACCGTAGGCGTAGTCGCTGAGGATTGGGAATGAGATGTTAGCGTGCCACCCGTACGTCTTCGGCCGGTGCATGCGTCGAGTGAGGACCGCGACGTACCCGGTGATGGTGAGAGTGGTCTTCTCGCCGAGAGTCATGCCGCCGTCAGCGGTGAGGACACCCTCGTCCCAGCCTAGACAAGCAGTGGTAATATGTTAGCAGTGTGATCTGTGAGTTTCCAGGTCGGCGACGTGTGCGAAGCTCAACATCTCCGAGATTCGCCCAACATCCGTTGCTCTTTCCCGTGCGACTCTGGGATCGACATGGTGTGATTGAGGCAACCCACCCTTGATGACCTGACCGACACCGATCTTGGTGTTGAAGTCTCCGCGTCCGACGGAGCTGTCGAACCTGTCGACGGCGAGAGAACGCACGCGGCACCATAGTCAGTCGCTGATCGTTCTCTGATGTCATTTCTCGTGGATGTGAGAGGTTCCCATTGAGAAACCGAGTGGCTATACTGACTGCTTGCCCTTCTGGTTGTCCTTGGAGGTGTCCTGGAGGTAACCGGTGTACTCCATGGTGATGCTGTCACCGGCCTTGGCCTTGGTGACGCCGTCGCCGGGGGAGGTGTTGGACTTGGTGACACCCATTCTGAAGGCTGTGAAGGAGAAGAGTCGGGTAGATGGTGGAGTGGTGATTGATGTGATTGAAGGAGAGGAGAAGTTGGAGACGTTGCGGGAGAGGATTCGCGAGCTATGATTGATTATTATACTTGTTAGTCGGAGTCTCTTCCCACCTGGAGCACGGGTAGGTACAGGTACTAGGTAGGTAGGTAGTGTAGCTATGGCATGACAGGGTCCATTCCTCGCAACAGGTACCAGCTGGAGGACTGTGGTGCTGTACGTGTGGAAAATGTCAACAGCAGCGGCGACACCTGGGCATAATACTCAATACTGTACGAGCCAGTAAGAAGCAGTACGACCGGGACTACTGCTACTACTACTGCGGCGGCTGCTGCACCTCCACTAATTGCCAAATCTGGAAGCGATGGGGAGGACGAGGATTGGCTGTCGATGTCGAAATCGGTCGCCGTCCGTCGTCGCGGTCGAGATGCATGTCATGTCATAGCGGGGCGCTTCACAAACCCAGCGTCGGCCTGTGTGCGTGCAGGTGGTGGGAAAGGCATGATGAAAACATGACAAAGGCGGGGCGGGGCACATTTTTCAGGGCTGGATGATGATGATGATGATGATGATGATGGTGGTGGTGAGGAATGCAAGGTGTCGGCGACGCTGCCCGTCCAAAATGGTATGGTATAGTGGTACCGGAGGTCCTGGAGCTTTTTGCTGGAGCTCCACAGGTCCAGGTTCGAAATATTGTCCGCCCTTGCACTCACCTCTGTCTCCACATGGCGGCCATCTCGATGTCGAATATATTCCAACTCGACCTTCCTTTTCGAACAGATTTGATGAGAATGCGCCTGGGCGATGGTGATGATGATGGTGGTGATGATGGGAGTAATAACAACAATGGTGATGGGAACTCGCTGATGATCGACGACAGTTGACGACATTGGAACTTGGAGATACTGGAGGAGATGGGAAATCAGGGTCCCACCCATGACGCCAGCGGCAATGCGGAGGGTCTGCCGCCGAGTTCATGATCACGACGTGTGCTGGATGATGTTGATACGGCAGACCAAAGCGTACCTAGGTGAAGATAGACTGACTGTATGCCTGGGACAATCTCCAGCATGTATTCCTCGGCGACCTGAGGACGACTGGATACCGATGTGTATCTCTCTCGAGTAGAGAATAGCGTGAACGGTTCGCCGTCTCTGCGATCGATGTCCAGCCCGGAACATCATCAATCAGTGGGTGCAGGTGGTTGACGAATGCTTATCGATAAGAGCTTTTTCACTGCGTCTTCATCTGCATTCCGACGTTGGAACTGTCGATTACTATTAGTCCATCCATGGACATAGTTTCGTTCCCTCGGCTGAACACATATACCAGAATCGAGTGGAGGCTTTGGGTTCTCATGCCCATATCGCAAGTTCATGTCGCATCGTCGGTCTAGATGGCAAACGCTTGCTCCCAACCGTTGTGAAGCTTCAAGGAATAGCTGTAGGAATCGCTCAAACCGGATAGGACGTCGCGATGAGTCAGTAAAAACGAGCACACGGCATCTAGGGCTGGTCTCACACGTCTGCCCCGGTCTTTAATGCGCCCAAGATTAGTCATTGACGAAAACGCAGTATCTGATCAGTCATTGGCACCCCCCGTCCCAATTGCCCAATTCCTGTCCGCAGATGATTTTTCCTGCCTGGGTCGCGTCTCCTGCAACGCCCACGCGATCATGACCGTTGGCGCTCCAAAATTTCCCAATCCATCTCCCTGCGACATTTCACGTCACCCATCGCATTGTTCCGCATCCGTCCACACCGAGCTCCGACCGGGCCGGCGACGTTGAATCCTTCGCATGCGACTCGGGTCGATTCACAGATATTTCACTGTCGCACCTCTGCAACTTGCGACAACAGAAGTGTGCGCCGACAGCATTGATGTCTCTCTTCAACATCGCACCGCATAAGTTTGGGACCTTGAGAAATCGTCCTACCTTGCGACACTTCACACGGTAGTGATGAAGTTCACCGTTCACGTTCTATGGCCATCGGCGGCGCCAACGTCCTCTGCAGCGCCCGAGAACTACGAATCCAATGCCACAGCCATCACCTTAGCTGTCCCGGTGGAACTCGACCGGTCTTGCGCAGTCTTGCGCAATAAAATCCTGAGACGATTCGCAACTCAACCTCAACTACAACGCCTTCGATTGTCAGACTTGGCAGACAAAGATGGAGCATTGATCGATCTGGAGGACACCTTGGCTGAACTGTTCCCCGAGGCTACAACATCCCCAAGCGACAACATAGTCCGGGCAACCACGCTCTGGGTTGAGCCTACCAGTCGCAAACGCCAGACCAGAGAAGAAGAGTGTGCACGCGATGTGTCACTTGGACCCAGCCAGCCAGCGTCACACCGAAAGAGACAGAGGAGGTCGTCATTGGAGAATGGAAGAAATGGGACGGCGCGGCAAATTGATCGGACACAATCTCATCCTGTGGCAGAGGTCATTGAGGATTCCCAGCCTGTGTCCCGCGGCCGCGCATCAGCAGCATCCGCACAATCACCATACCACACGCCGAGCCAAGTCACTCCTGCGCCTGGACGACCTGCCTCTTCGAACCCGGCACCGACTTCCGCGCAGCGCTTGACCAACTCGCAGGTCGCTGATTCGCAAAGACGCCGGAGTCCATCCGCACTCTTCGTACACAGCGATGATGACGACGACGAGTCTTCTGGGATGGTCAACCTAGATGATGAAATTCTTCGCGGCTCGGATGAGGAGGATGCCCCGAGAACTCAAAGGACAACCCAGGACAGTGGTGAAGCTTCTTCACAATGGCGCAATGTTTTGTCATCAGGAAAGGTATGTGTATATCATGCGAATGGCATCGACCGTTCATGCTGACAACGTTAGAAACGAGGTCAAGGCTCCTTCTATGCCCAGATGTTCGGTAAAAGGGCAAAGTCCTCCTCTCGTGATGCCAAGTGGAGCAGGGAGGAAGATCGTATCCTCATTCACGGCACCCAGAAGGAATGGAGCACTCGTCGCATTCTCGGCGCGCTAGATAAACTTGAGAATGCCCCTTTGCGATCTGAGAATGGTCTTCGCAGCCGCCGCAAGTGGTTGAAAGACACCGATTTATGGGACGAAATGCAGAATGAAGGGTCATCACAACGGCCGAGGGAGAAGCATCCCTCTGCGATGCCGGATTCGAGCCAAGTTCCGGTATCATCGCCTTTGCTGCGTTTCACGTCGACAATGAAGTCCAACGAGAGGGTAGATCCTCAACAGGCTACCCCGACTCCCAATGCTACGTCGACAGGGGCGTCCAGTGGGAACAACAAAAAAGGTGCGAATACCACAGACAGTCGCAACGGCGCGAACACCATCGTAGAGCCATCGCTCATTGAGGAGAATTCCAGGAGAACATCGGGTCTGTTGAAAAAGCAACGCAGTGATGGAAATCAAACGCAGCTCAATTTCGCGCGCAATAAAGGCAAAGCTGCAGTCTTGAATCCAGACTGGACAGGTGGAACGAGAATGTTCTCGGTCGCAAGAACAACATCCACCACTTCGGCTTCGACATCCGCTGCATCTAAAGTCGGTGTTGAGAAGCCAAACGGTGTCGTCCCGGACAGCGATGACAACGATGTGTATCTGGATAACATGCCTGCAGCTCAATTCGAGCAGGACGATAATGAAGTGGCAGACGCACCTCCAATCGCATCAACCCCTGAAGAATCTAGCGTAAATCCGACCACGGACTCAAATGTGATGCAACTTGACCCATCACAACACACACGTGTCACTGCGTCACCTTCACGACCCGATTCGATTGAATCTCCGAAGTCTTCGGTTGACGCGACAATGGCAGATGTGCCAATGCGCAACGATGAATTTGATGCTCACCACATTGTATCAGACACGCCAATTGCACGAGATCCAACTTCAGTTTCTTCATCTGCCCGTCAGTCGGAAAGTGACGAAGCTCCTGGCCCCTCACGTTCCGTTCACTTGCAAAACACACCATCTTTGCAGAACTCCTCACGAGAAGAGGCACGATCAAGTACCGGCAAACTACCTCGTTTTGGTCGCCACACGGTTCAGAGTTCTCTCAAGCGCAAGCAACCTCGCCTTTACGGCTCTTCTGTCCGTCGGCCTGATCCGTATGATCTCATCAGTCAAAGTTCCGAAGATGAGTCGACACCAATACCTCCACGTCGCTCACGTGAGAGCCCGGCCGCAACGCGCGTCGCATCCGAGGAGGCGACGCAATCACCACAACCAGACCACACCGAATCCTTTGACGACCCGGCTGCTCACGCCTCTTCACCAGCACCTCTACGACCTTCCAAATCAGCACTCCCCACCTCGTCCGACTCTCAAGCCACCGCAATCCCAGCCAACGCCGACATCCAATGCCCGCCTCAACCTCGACCACCGAAATGGACCCTCCAAATCCCTCCCTCCGCCCTTGAGTCCTGGCACGAAGCCAAACTCCAAGCCACCCGTCCCCGCGAAACCCGTCCCGCCTACGAGATCTTCCTCGAATCGCAATTCTCCCGCGCCCTCCTCGACGCCTCGATCCACAACAACCCCATCGAAACCGCTCGCCTCACCAAACTCCACAAACGCTTCACCCGCGCCGTCCGCGATGTCAAAGGCCAGCGGCAACCCACGCGCACCCTCCGCTATCCGCAATTCTACCCGCATCTCGATGTCACGAAGCTCGCGCGTCAGGCGGACCAGGAGGATGCGGATGAGGAAGTCGGCGAGGGCAAATTCGACGATGATGCTACGACGGTGGACTGGGAGAGGGACGATCGCATGGTTTGGTTGGATGGCTGGGAGGCTGAAGTGGGGAAGGGCTTGCCTAGGGGTTACAAGAGGCTGGATCCTGAGGATGACGAAGATGAGGAGGAGGAGGATGATGATGATGAGGATGAGGATGAGGAGGACGATGATGATGTGGATGAAGTTGAAGTCAACCTTGAGACGGAGGGCCCGCGGATCGTCGAGGTGGTCGAGGATGCGGAAAATTCGGCGAGAAGTTCTAAGGTGGGAGACAAGCAGAGGACGAGTCCGTTTCTGAGGCGAGGTACGCATGGGTTTACTCAGGATGGGGAGGAGTTCGAAGGTAACGAGGGAGATGTGAGTGAAGACGACAGCGAGAGAGCTTTCAAGCAAGAGGAGAACGATCTAGCGCAAGACGATGAAATGGCGACAATTGATTCCGAAGAGGAACAACGAGATGATCCTCGACAAACCAATCGCGCTGCCGCGCAGGACCCCATCATCATCTCGTCCGGCGACGAGTCCAGCGACTTCTACTCCGAAGACGAAGACCTCCTCCTCGAGGATCAAATGATGGCGCCCAACCACCCCCTGCCCGAGCGGACTCCTCCTACCGTGCCGCCGCCTCTCCGTAATGACAAGAACTACTCTCAGGCTATGTCACAGTCTCCATCGACGTCTAATTTGCCGGCCGAGAATCCTGCGGAAGGAACTGTTGGAAGGAATCGTCCGAATGATGTCATTCCTGTTAATGGCACGCTTGTTCATCATGAGGCGGTTTCGGATGATGTTGACATGGAGGAGGCGGAGACGCCCATCCCTGCTGTGAAGTCTGCTGCGACCTCCTCTGCTCAGCGTAGAGGAGGAGATCATGAGGTCATCGAAGGCGATGGCGCGGATGTTGTCGAGGACGAGAATATGGCTGACGAAGACACTTTCATCACTGCGCCCGACGACGGCGAAGAGGTACATTCGCGGCCTGACGATGAGAACGCTTTGGGGGGCGCTGCTACTACCAGGCAGCATGCAAGCGCAGACAATTTGGAGCACAATCGAGAACCTGTCGTGAACGGCGTGGCCGCAGATGGGAATATCCCGACGGAAGACATACGAAACGAAATCGGGAAGTCAACGTCAAAGGCTACGAAATCTGCCCGAGGAGATTTGAAGGACGTGCCTCCCGTAATGCAGCCTCCCAAGCCGCAGAACGCCTCAAATCCAACGAAGCGCCAGAAGCGGCGGAAGAAGAAACAAATCGAGAAAGCTGGGCTCGACAACGGTAGTCCTCCTCGGAAAGCTTCGGTCCAAGAGTCTGAAGCAATGACCGCTACACCCTTCCGCACCCCCAAGCTTTCCGATCGGGCCTCGATCCACCAACATGCCACCCAAGCCAGCAACACGCACAGTGGTCGCCGCCTGTCATCATCCACCAATGCCTCTGCCAGCACCGGCAAAAAGCGCCGCGTTCAGCGCAAACACGAGCGCCGAATTCTCCGAAAACAGCTGCAAGAATCTGACGGCCTTCCATCCCATCTCCCACGAACCCAAAACAGCGGGCGTCCACACGACCAGCGATCAGCGACGAACGCCCCAACGCCATCAACACTACAAGCCTCCTCATCCTTCATGCGATCCTCCCCGCCTCCGCATCCTCGTCCTTCCCCGACAGTCCTCCCCGACCTTCCCGACCCCCACCAACGACAAACCCTCGTATCGACGCCGCCCACGCCGAAACCGACCCCCAAATCAGTCACCAAGTCACATCTAGAGAAATCCGCCAACGGAATTCCCCAAGATGATCAAAACCGCGAGCTCAGTCCCTCACTCCCGACGATTCCGCGCTCCGGACGACCGTCCAATCCCGCATCGACGCGAAAGAGCCACAACACCCAGCTCAATGCCAAGCAAAGTGCGAAGCCCAACACGACCGCCCACCCCTTCCCCCCCAAACCCGTCCTCACAAACCCAAATCCACCCCCAAAGACCCCCTCGGGCTCGGGTTACCCCCTAGGCCGCATCGCAGCGCAGATTCGCTCCGCCACCGCGCAGATCGCCGCGCCTCCCCCGCGCAGGGAGAGGACGCCGACGCCGGAGATCACCAGGCGCTTTCTTTTGAGTGGGGCGAGGAAATCGGCAAAGAGAAAAGGAAAGGGGAAGGAGGAGGACAGCAGTGACAGTAGTGAGAGCAGTGAGAGCGAGAGCAGCGAGAGTGGGAGCAGCAGTGATTGACCATGGATGGATGAATGAATGGAGATGGAGACCCATGCCATGGATGATTGACAGTACGACGAGAGCTCATTCCCCCAGACCACAAAGCGATTTCCTTCCACCCCACCCCCCCTCTCTCTCCTCCGTTCCCTCGGGACCGGAACGATGTTCGATGGGACGGTCTGGGACGGGTGTTATATTGTTTCCTGCATCATCGGAATGGGACCATTGAATGGCCTTCGAGGGAATCCTATCACACGACGACGACGACGACGACGACAGCGACGGTGGGGTTCTCGGGACGGACTGTACAGCTCTTTCTTTCGGCGATGGCATCAAAACATGCATCCTGTGTGGCTCCCGGTATTGTTTCCTTCTTACTCTTTTTCAGGGGTCGCATTGTAATTTATTTGTCGGCCCTCGCTAGAATTTGAGATTTGCTCTGTTTGTCCTCTGGATATTGCTCTCTCACTTCTTCTTCTTCTTCTTCTTCTTCTTCTTTCTCTCGTCCTCGCTGTGTGGTGCTGTGATCGTGCATTCTTGGGCGTGACTTCTCGGGATTAATCTCCGTTTGAAAGTCATGAGTGGAGGAGAGAGGGGGCGCTACAGTTCAGAGTGGCAGGATGAGATGACTGACTTGCAATGATGGTGAGATGAACAGTGTGGGAAGTCGTGAGAAATCCGTCCATGGGAATAGTTCTATTGAAACTGAAAATCTAGATGGAAGTAAATACTCCTCCAACGCCTCGCTAACCAGATATCCCAAAAGAACAAAATAAGGACCGAGTACACACATCCCCACGCAGAATCCAGACCGCACGGCTCGACGGAAACTCTCACAGTTTCCTCCGTCACTCCTCCTCTTCGTAAGATTCCGTCAGATCCAGGTCCCTCAGGACATTCTCCACCTCCCTCGGATCGCTGATCGCCCAGACCCCTCCTCCCTTCACCGCGCCTTTCATGCCCACCTCCTTCCCGACCAGGTTCCTGCCGACCTTCCCCGGCCCCAAGCCCAGCCAGCGCTGCACACGCTCCTCCTGGTGCAGGTACACGATGCTCTCGTGCCACTGCACCGTCTGCACCGCCTGGCGCGTGAGGAGCTCCTTGAGCTGCTCCTTGCTCTTGAAGGGCCGCGCGGACACGTTGCTCACGCACGGCATCCGCCCGGGCCACATGATGATGTCCTCGCCCGGCGCCGTCGGGCTCTCCTGGCTGAGCATCCGCGCCATCAGGTCCGCGGCCGGCTGCATCATGGGGCTGTGGAAGGGCGAGTCGGACTTCAGGCGCACGGCGCGCGGGTCGTGGCCGGCGAACTGCCGCAGGTGCGTGAGCAGCTCGGTGATGCGTCGGATGTACCCCGACAGCACGATCTGGTTCTTGCTGTTGACGTTCGCGATCAGCACCTCCGGCACCGCCGGCCGGTCCGTGTCCGCGTGGCTGTCGGATTTGGAGCCCTCGCTGTCGTGCCCGAGGAAGTCGTGGATCGCGTCGATCATCGGTTGCAGGTGGTTGGGCTCGCAGACGAGCGCCACCATGCCGACTTCTTCCTTGGCGTCGCGGGAGCAGCGCGCGAAGACCTCGCCGCGTCGGCGCACGAGCTGCAGGGCGTCGGCCTCGCGGAGGTAGCCTCCGACCACGAGCGCGGCGAATTCGCCCAGGCTATGCCCGAGACATATGTCCACGCGGTCGCGCAGTTGGAAATCGAACTCCTGTTCTAGCACGCGCATGATGATGATCGAGGTCGCCATGATGGCGGGTTGGGCGTTTTCTGTCGCGGTGAGGAGGCTGTTGGGGCCGTCGGCGATGATCCGTGAGAGCGAGTAGCCGAGCCGGTCGTCGATCTGTTCCAGGAGGGGTTTCACCGTGCGAGGGAAGGCTTCTAGCCAATCTGTTGTCATGCCCACTCTTTGCACGCCCTGTCCGGGGAAGAAGATGGCGGTTTTGGGGTGTTTCTTAGTCGGTGTCGTGGAGTTCTGGCGAGTTTGCTTGGGAGCTGTACATATCACTTGCCGCGGAGAAGGCGCTGGTGTGAGGAACAAGTGTGATCGGGCGGGTTTGCTGAGAGCGCATACTCGCGCGGGCGATTTCAGAGCCGATGCCATTGCGAATGGTATCGCTGTGCGGTGCGTGAACGGTTGTTGAGCACCAGGGCTTTGTCGCCTGTGACGAGAGGCTCTTTATAGCTTTGCTCAGAGGCTTATCTGCGGCCGGTCGGTGGATTGAAGTTATGAGCTCGGGGAATGCGAGATGATGTCGGTCAAATGGGAGTTTGATCGTCGGGTGATAGGCGCGGAGAGAGCTGGTGATGGTGGTGACGCTGAGTCAGAATCCGGGGTTCGTTCTCCGGCCGTCGTTTCTTAGCCGACGTAACTCGAGTCAGGAACATGCATTGAGACGTCACTCATGATTATTCCCATCGGTCAGTCATTAATGCCAGCACAAGATATCTCTTGATGAGGCTTGTTACATACCGCATTATATGCTGAGCTAAAACGATCCTGCGTCGCCATTGCTGCTATGATGGCTCCTCCATCGTTTTTGTGCCGTCCCGCAACGGCCGCAGTGACAAGATCGACCAGAATCTGTGCAAACCTATGCAGAAGATCTCTAGGGGGAGCGCATTCGCAACGTGCCTACCATCAATCTCAAACATTGAGGTCGGGGCGATCAGCTTCTGACGTCGCCGAAGCCTTCGTGGCCAAGTTTGCCGGAAAGTCTTTCAATCGGGAACAGTATCTAGACCACAACCAGACTCGATTGATGAGCTCGACAGTTGCTTATATAGACTCCCTCAACAATGAGCGTGAGAGTTTCCCCGACTCAGAGGATGGCGATAGTCGTGTCGTGACAGTTCCGCCGGGCTGGCATCTTTCATATTTCACTCCTGGACAACCTTTGGGAGAACTGGGCATCGATGGGACCGACACGTCATACAATCCCGATATGCCTTACACTCGCAGAATGTGGGCCGGAGGGTCTGTAGAATGGCCTGGGGCTGATCCCACGTTTGAGAATGAGCGTGGTAAACTTAAGCTTGGCTGGACCGCCACGGAGTCAACCCGCGTGCTCTCTTGCACTCCGAAAACGATCAAGAAGACGGGCGAGACTATGCTCGTCGTCGGAGTTGAGAAGGAATATCTGGATGAGATTGGTTATCAAGCTGTCATTGAAAAGAGAAATTGGATCTTCCGCCGCGCTTTCGATCTCTCGAAGCCGGCACCACCAATCCCGCCAAGGCCTGCACTGCTAGACAATGCCGCCCTCGAAGAACTTTCCAAAAACAAACTGGTCCGAAAATTCTGTCGAACGACCGCGGAACTCTTTCGATTTTCTGCTTTGACCTTCAACGGTCATCGTATCCACTATGATCGAGAATGGGCGCAGCAGGTCGAAGGACATAGAAACATTGTTGTTCATGGCCCGCTCAACATGGTCTCTATTCTAGACTTCTGGCGCCATGCCCAAAGCAAGAAAGAAATGGCTTTTCCGAAGAAACTCGATTATCGAGCAACTAGTGCTATCTATGTAGACGAGCCTTATCGCATCTTAATAGACGCCGACACGGCGTCGAAGAAGGTGACGGATGTCCAGGTCATCAGTGATGATGGAACAATCTGCATGACTGCGCAGATCACCAATTGGTGAATTCTTTACAAGGCTTCTAATTTATAAACAAATTCCCGCTGGTGAATCATCATCATCGCCATGTCGACCAGCGACTGCAGATGTTACGGTCGCAAAACCATAAGCTCTTTGGAGCTTTCAATACAGCGCAAAGACCACCAAGACCGCAAATAGCAAGCAAGAATGGACATTGAAGACTAGCTCATGCCCATCCGGCGGCTCCACCACCACCACAGCCTTCACCAACGTATCCCAAAAGGCGATTCGCAATGTCTGACGCATAGCTGTTGGAGGAATGTCAGCGAGAGTCGTACGAGTACCATATGAGCACGAAAATAAGAACATCGCAGTCATGCGGGTCCTTGTCAACAAAAGAAAATACACGAAAACATACCAAGCATTTGCCCCACCGATCGAGAGTTCACCACTCGCCGAGATGCTGAATGGTCCCGAATTGTACATTCTCGCTGCGCGGTAAAACTTCGCGGTCTCGTCTGTACCAGCATCGATGGGCTGATAGCCCTCAGTATGCCGGACGAGCAAATCCTGGAGGTTGACACCAGCTGCGTTGCTCGCCGTGCCATCGTGGATCATCTGCTGGATCTGCGTGTAGGGACATGGATTCAGTGGGAGTGGTGATGCTGCTGTTCCAGCGCAGGAGCCGAGACCTTGGTAGGATTGCATCAAGCCTGGATTGGAGACGGCGAGGCTGGTCGTATGTACACGGACACAGCCGCGAGATTCCTCCATCTATTCCTGCATTAGTTTTGGAGATATGGTCTCGTTGAATACTCCCGAAAGAATTTCACCTACCACGACTGCCAAAATGAACCTCTTGTCCACGCCCGTGGAATTCGAAACAGTCTTGATCGCTCGCAGAAGCTGGCTATTCTCATCTTCGGAATTGTCGCAGATCTTGCGAGTTAGAGTCTCGATATTTTGCCGCCACCTGATAAGAAAGGATGTCAGAATCACTCCCGGAGTTCCACATGCTCAGACCGGGTGTGTCATCCAACGGAACAAGGAATCCAGAGGATGTCAACTTACATGTCGGCGAAAGGAATCCACGTGGATTTGGCAGGCCAGCCCTGCGCAAGCGACCCATCCCCAACATACTTCCGATACGTCACCGGGATCATCGGGGCAGTGTACTTGCCCTGGGCGTCATCGTCTCCGAGCGTGATTGCCGAAGTATTCGGGTCCACTGAAAGCACTCCATGGTCAGCGGAAGCCTGCTGCGACGAGTCTTGGGCATGCACTGCCGTATCCTTTTCAGGCTTTGCGGGCGTCATCAAACTCATATATCTGTCCATCGCGCTGTTGCCGAAATGTCCCGTGCCGGCGAGCCCGACATGGTCGGCGAGATGGCCGAGCCCGATGGCGGACACGAAGGTACCGGGGAGGAGGAAAGGTATGAGTAGGAGCGGGAGCTGTTTGAAGGGGTTCTGTAAGTCAGCTGTCCTGCAAAGAGGATGTGTCATAGAAATTGCGTGCGGACTATCATCTGGAGCAGTGGTCGACGAACCTTTGTGTGTACTGGAGTCATTTCTAAAAATCGTCTTTGGAGATCACGCAATTTTCGGAGTCACGCAATAGGAGTGGAAACAACACAATCGTAATTGACTAGTGAAAGTTCAATGCGATATATAACATCGATCGCTCCGGAGGAATCCGCCCATGATGGTTCGACAAACCCGCGGTTTTCCCTCCGTTGGCTGTGGCAACCACAACGTTACGTTTCCCTGCCCTCGCCACGTCATCATGCGACAGTTCCATGCACAGGGAAAGAGAGAGGCCGTCGCGCGAATCGTTTATTCCGTTGCCGTATGGATCAGGGCTGAACCGTTGGGAGTTGTGTCGTGGCAACGCGTGGGCTTGCGTGGTAGAAAACGGCGGGTCCGTTGAACCGCGATCGGTCGCGTGTCGGCGAAGCCGAGGGTCAGCATGAGTGACATTGGTGGATCGTATCGCGAAAGGCGATTGTTGATTCCTTTGGAATTGCATGGAAAACTCTCTAGCTGTGTGTGATTTCTTGACATTCGAGTAATGCGACAACATCGCGAGTTCGACGCGCAACTCTTCGCGATCGATCCCCCGGGCGATCGATCTTGACTGCGGACCGGGTGCTGCAATGCATTAGCGAGGCTCGACGAAAGTTCGCAGCTTTCAACTTTCGATCCCAAAGGATATCGTAGACCTGAAATCAGAATAATGACAGACTCTGGCCAAAAGGCACAGTCTGGCACGTCGGGTGAGATTGATGGGAGGAGTAAAACCTCGTGTATGAGGTTAATGAGATTCTCCTGCTCTTCATCAGACGGTCTTTGTGCAACCTCGGCAATGACGCTCCAGGTTGACGCAGGGGATTCGTCCAAGGAAGGTTCTTTGTCCTTGCCGGCAGCCTTTCTGCTCTCAGATGACAGTGCATCGAGGTTTAGCGCTACTTCTTTCGCTGAGGTGGTGCCGTCTGAGTCGAGGTGGGCGAGGATAACGTCAGAAGAACTATTGTCACGTATGGAATCAGTCTGCGACGAGAAGTCGGAAGGCTTACAGACTCTCCAGCCCATGATGAATGTTTGATTTTGATATTAAGGCAAGCTTGTGGCGGAAAGCTGATTATCGAGAAGGGAAGTTCGACCAGACTATCTGGTCTCTACAACGACCTGAGAGCCTTGCAATTTATACGATTCAGAAATGAAGAGGATGATTTTCGAATCATGGTATCTGATGGTGTTTACGTTATCCGCGTGGAAGTTTATCCGAATAAATATCATTTATTGTGATCGTTCCTGGTCTAGTGGACGAACTTAGGGGAGAATAAGCGCACAGGATTCGATTATTTTCGCTCGCTCGGGTTATTTATGCGTTAAAGTACCCATCATAGCGCTCGACGTGAGCTTGACTCGTCATGAAGTGAAGCAACATTTCCGACGCGCTTCGGAGTGAAAGGACTTCTCTCAGGTGAGCTTTGAACTCCAATGTGAAGACAAGACACGTCATGCTGGGAAGTCCACAAATTGAGTGAATCTATCCCGCGAAGTGTGGTCGAAGCCTATCTACACCGGTCAGAAGAACGTAGTCACTTCTCTTATTGCTCTCCTGCTCGACTGGGGAGATAGTCCCTCTGCTCCTTTTGTGTTAGGGATTCCGTTTACTGCACATTACAGGGGATCCAAATTTCCAGTAACAATCACTATGATTGCGACATATGGCAAAGGCGGTGGTGGGTCTGCAAGATTGCTGACTGGAAGTATTGCGTATCACAACTACATGATGGTACAACAACATCCATCGTCATAGTATTCACCATCGTGTTGCCGCTGGGCCATCCGTTGATTCCTCGACCGTCGATATCGTTCCTGCTCTTCTTCATAACGGCGACGAGCCTGTAGCTCTCTTGTGGCCGCCATTTCATATCTTGCCTGATCATTGATTGCTCGCGTCCTCGCTTGCTGAGGCGCGTTTGGTGTATTACCGCCATGTCTAGGACCATAGCCGGGTCTGTGACCGTGGTGGTGTCCCGCCATCGTCATGTGCGGTTCATACAATGCCTCTGGGTCTGTTTTGGTACGAGATGGTCAGTGAGAGGACAATACCATGGTCAGATGATCAACCAACTCGCATGCAGTTGCTGTATCATTTGAAGGAGTGAGTCAAGGACATACTCCTATGTTTGGATGGGTGCACCTTTTCAACCAACCCAGTCAGTCGTATTCACAACACCTCAAGAAATCGAATTCCGCTCAATAAAGTTCATCAGCCAGCGAGGCGCAAATATATGTATTACTTCATATCACAAATAAGTACCTAGGTAGTATGATTGCTTTCTCCAATCCTGCGCCACAAGCGCTTCTCACCGGTCTGACCGGTCGAGCGACACCACGCCACCAGGAGCATGGAGGATTCCGTCAATGCTATCGAGCAAGAGAGGAGTACAACAAGGTAGCTAGAGCTTCATGCCATGATACTTGTACATACTAGGTGATCAGTACCTGAGCATTCTTCAGGAGTACTTCACATGTATATCCAACAGCGCTGTCTATATGGCACACGAGAGTGTTGCCTCGGTCGGTATTGAGTACTGAACAATATGCACTGCTCCACAATCGACATTGCTGGTAACTTATGCTCCCCGGATCAGCGAGCATGTATGATGATCTCCGCTACGAGTGCTACTGACTCGTTGTTGAGATTGTCGAATCTCAGTCGCACCCTTCAAGAGTAGGGAGTTTTTGGATGGCTTGTGTCATCGGCTCTTGTTTGTGCCATGATGGCTCGTGTCATCGGTGCTTGCTTATGTCGTGATGCCAGAATTCGTGACCTCGTGCTTAAGATTGCCGATGAATCGATCGTGACCGCAGTGGAGTCATGCTGATACTTTCAGGCAGGAGAGAGAAAGGGGTTTCAGGCGAGCAGTCAGTTGGAAGTCGTTGGAGCACGACCATCCTTCCTTCCAATCTTGGAATAGAACCAGCGATTGACAGTCACATCACTTGAGCACCTTCGATCATCACCGAATGACATGGACTGATCCACGACCGGCTACGCTGACCTTTCCCAGTCCAGGTCGGCATAGAAACTCGACGATTCCTACCACGACTACATGAAGGTTCCTTGCTGTGAGGCTATGAGGTTCCGGTCAAAACGTTGGAGAGCTGGTTAACCATCAGAAAAACAGCATTCACCGATTAGTCACCCGAAAAATCCCAGGACGGACTACTTTAGAATACCTAGATAGGCGTATGGTCCACCATCTTCATGATCTTCATGTCGAAACGTAAGCATCTAGACAACATTGAAGACGAAATGTTGCAGTAAGTACAGGCGGCATTGCAGGCAAGGGTTGCTATTCCGTCATTGGGGTTCAGAGCAGTAAGAAAGCACGAGATGTTTTGCGCTGACTTCGATCGAAATTCTGTCCCATCGATACTGCTTCACATTCAAGGGTTACCCCGCCATCCGTAGCACAATTGACCATCGCAGGCAAGACTCGTCAATAGTGGGTGCTGCAGGCTGCCGAAACCATCATTATCTTGCGTGGCCCGTCTGTAAGCGCGCTGGTAAGCATCCATCCATGTCGCGTGCAATCTGCAGCTCTCTCACTCGCCGTTCTTTCATTCGACCTCGTATTACACCTGCACTGAATTGCTCTCAAATTATACCATCTTTCTTCCAGCCATCGCGGGCACGACCATCCGACTCTAGACACCTCACTGGTCAACCTTGGCCGTATATCTACCGAACAGAACCTTCGCCCAACATGGCTCCTCAACTGGACACCTACTACAAAACTGTAGACTCTCTCGCAGAAGACTTCATCGAACGACTGCGCAAAGCCGTGGCCATTCCGTCCATCTCCGCAGAGGAGGCGAGACGACAGGATGTTGTCAAGATGGGTCTGTTCCTCAAGGGCGAGCTAGAGGCCCTGGGCGCACACATGGAAGCCCGGCCGTTAGGAAAGCAGCCTGGAAAAGAGCACCTAGAACTTCCACCTGCAGTCATTGGTCGTTACCCGGCAAAGAAAGACGAGAGCAAACGCACCATCTTGGTATACGGACACTACGACGTTCAGCCTGCTGATCTGTCCGATGGATGGGCGACGGATCCTTTCACTTTGACAGTCGACGACAAGGGACGCATGTATGGTCGTGGTAGCACAGACGACAAGGGTCCTGTTCTCGGCTGGGTCAACGTCATCCAATCACACCAAAAGGCCGGCATTGAGTTCCCCGTCAACCTTCTCATGTGCTTCGAGGGTATGGAGGAATACGGATCAGAAGGTCTGGACGACTTTATCGAGGCGGAGTGCAAGCCTGGCAAGTTCTTCGCGGATGCCGACGCGGTGTGCATCAGCGACAACTACTGGCTTGGAACTGAGAAGCCCTGCCTTACATATGGTCTGCGCGGCTGCAGCTACTACTCGATCGAGATCAGCGGACCAGGCCAGGACCTCCACTCGGGTGTCTTTGGTGGTACTGCACAGGAACCCATGACCGACTTGGTCCGCGTCATGGGCAGCTTGGTGGACACCGACGGCAACATTCAGATTCCCGGTATCAAGGAGCTCGTTGCACCGCTTACGAAAGAGGAGGAAAGTCTCTACAAGGATATTGCGTTCACCATGGACAACCTCTACGAATCTCTGGGTAGCCAGACCAGCATCTTCCCCGACAAGGAGCGCACACTGATGGGTCGCTGGCGATTCCCTTCGCTCTCGCTCCACGGTGTCGAGGGTGCTTTCTCTCAACCCGGTGCCAAGACCGTTATCCCGGCCAAGGTCATTGGAAAGTTCTCCATCCGTACTGTACCCGACATGCAGCCCGACGACGTCGATGCTTTGGTGTTCAAGTACGTGAAGCAGGTCTTCGCCGATCTCAAGTCCAAGAACAAATTGAACGTGCACCTCCAGCACAGCGGCAAGTGGTGGGTTGCGTCACCAAAGCACTGGAACTTCACTGCAGCGGCAAAGGCCGTGGAGAGCGTGTTCAAGGTCAAGCCGGATCTCACGCGTGAAGGCGGCAGTATTCCCGTCACTTTGACCTTCGAGCAGGCGACCGGTAAGAACGTTCTTCTATTGCCCATGGGCTCGTCGACGGATGCGGCGCATTCCATCAATGAGAAGTTGGACCGCAGGAATTACATCGAGGGCATTAAATTACTAGGCGCGTACCTGCATTATGTGGCGGAGGAGCCCACTGAGGGTTAAATGTCTTGTAGAGTATGATACGATACCGCGACGCGAATTGACGTTCACGTCTGTTATGAGAGTCTTCATGCTCCAGATGAACATGATCACCTCCGATGATGGTGATGTTGCCATCGCGTACTGATCATCATCATAAGTCTGTCATCGCGCGTTGATGGATTCCTGTAGCAATGACGTGATGCTGTATAGTGCACGAAAAGAGGGGTCCAATTGCGCATGTCTATAATGTCCCACTCCGCCCACGTTTATGCTCTACCTAGGTAATCCATAGCATATTCCCAATAATTTATCTACTACTGTAGGTAATTATGCAGAGCTTCCGACTATTAACACGTCCCGCCCAACAACACATTCTCCGATCCTCTCTCGCATCATCGACCACCTCTTTTTCAACAACAACATCGCGGTTTCTCTCAAGAACGACCCCTGCAACCATGAAGGCTTACTGGTACGATAACCTCCCGGTAGGTGATCTGTCTCAAACCCCATTTGCTTTGGTCCTCCGACATGAACAATAAATCGCAAGGCCACCCACGCCACAACGCAACAAGGCGAAGAAGAAGTCGTGCGCACCAGACCAAACCAACAAATAAACAATCCCTCGCATCACAAAATCAAAAGGCTAACCACCACTCCTCCTCCTCCCAGGGTGACCAACGTCTCGCCCACGACTCCGGCCGCCCAGTAGACCCCGCCTATCTCAGCACGCTGGGGATCCTCCACCAACGCTTCCCGGACCCCTCCGACCTGAGCGGCATCAACGCCCTGGCGGAAGCCCGCTCCTACAAGAACCGCGACGAGGTCGAGATCTCGCCCACGACGCTCCCGGGCTACGAGGAGAAGGTGAAGAATTTCTTCCACGAGCACCTGCATGAGGATGAGGAGATCCGGTACATCCTGGCCGGAGCGGGATACTTTGATGTCAGGAGCGAGGGCGACGACTGGGTGCGCATCCGGCTCGAGAAGGGCGACTTGATGATCATGCCGGCGGGCATCTATCATCGGTTTACGACGGATGAGACGAACGTGAGTTCCTCCATTTCTCGTGGCTACGGAGGCGGGAAGACTTTTGAGCTAACTTAGACTCGCGCAGTACACCAAGGCGATGCGTCTCTTCAAGGAGGACCCCAAGTGGACTCCTCTCCAGCGCGGAGAGGAGACGGACAAGAACTCTTTCCGGAAAGAGTATCTCGAGACCTATCAGCAAGGCCAGCAGGCTGCTACCACTGCATGAGTCCTCTCTACAATCGCAATGGAGAATTCGAGAGTCTCGTGATGATGGAGCGGAAATGAAGTGATATCCCCAGAAAATGAAATGGAAAAGCAATAGAATAAATGGAACCCATATCGAGAGCCATGGCGTCTGATGGTTATCTTTGGAAGTGAAATATCGTTATTCGTACTGGTTCATAACTGCATCGTTCTAGAAAACATTGCCCGATAACTTCCCGTTCCGTGCGCCTTCAATCTGACCAAGCTATACAAATTCTGCATAGGATCGGTCCGCTGTGCGCATACAGATCTAATCTACCTATCCCGCAAAAGCCCAGAGAAACACGCCGAGTCCAATCGACGACAGAATGGGTATCGTCAAATTATCATCCAAACCAAAAACATCCAACGCCTCGGAAACACTCGCCACCACGCCCGAAACCAGGGCAAGCGCGCCCATCGCCAGGGAACCCTCAATCCTCGCCTCATCCATCTTCAACCCGAGCACCTCCCGCGCCTTCTCCGGCAGCGTCAACACCCCCCGATACGCGAACCCCTCCCTCAAATCCGCCGGATGCGCCGGCACGAACAGGTCATAGAACAATACGGCGCTGCCCAGCCCCACGGCGAACGCCGCCAGGGACCCCGCCAGGCTCTTGCCCCGCCGGATCCTCGGCGTGTACCGCCCGTACGCCCGGCCGATGGTGCTCGCGGCCGTGTCGCTCCAGGAGAGCAGGAGCACGCTCATGACCGCGACGTCCTTCGGGCAGAAGCGCATCGTCACCCACAGGCCCGCGAGGTAGCTGATCACGCCGTTGAAGCGGTCGTGCGCCTCGCTCTCCCGCATGAAGGGCCCGAGGACCCGGATGTAGAATTCGTTCAGGGCCGGGTACCGGAAGCGCAGGACGTCCGTCGTAAAGATGGGGATCAGCAGGCTTAGCAGGACCGGGTGGATCTGGCTGATCTCCACGCCTCGCCGGTAGAGGTACAGCGTCACGAAGCCGATGCTGACGTGGAGGACTTTCCGCGGCACTTCGTGTTTATGGATGAAGTCGCGCCATTCCCGGTGGATCGGAATTAGACCTAGCGGACTGGGACTGCGGCTGAGGTTGCGCCAGTAGGATGTTCCGCGTCCGGCCCCGACTCCGACGCTGCTGCTGGAAGGCGAGGAAGGCAAGGCGGAGGAGGGAGAGAGGAGGTCTTTGGAGGATTTCTCATTGCGATGTGCGCTGCCGTTGGTCTGGCCGTTGGTGAGTGGGACCTCAGATTCAATTTCTGTCGCTGCTGTTGCCGTGGTGGTCATATCCGCTTGATGTTGATGCGCGCCCCGATCGCGGCCGCGGTTCCTGTTCAAGTCCTTATCGTTCCTTGAGTTCGAAGATGCGGTTTTGTTGGCTCGCTCACTGGAAGTTTTTGAGCGAGTCTTGGGCGCGAAATAACCGTCACTGCCACCGCCGGTAGATGACGACTCGGGCGGAGTGGGTGATATGACTTGCGGCGTGCCGGGCACGGGACGTTGTAATTGTGACGAGGACATGGGATCAGGGTGTCGTCTTTTTGTTGGTTCACTTCATCTAATATGAAGTCTCCTGGTTGTCGCGTGATCTTGTCAAGCGCGCAATTCCGTTGTGGGCCTGGCGCTTGTTTGGTCCTTTGGTACTTCTGCTTCTTCTGTCTAAGCGTTCGCCACGATCTTTCCGTTATATCTATGATTCCGTGCGGAGGAGGTATTCGATAAGGAAAAGGAATAAAGAGGAAATGATATCGAGGATGAATATTAGACGACACGTCGTCTCAGTCCTTGGAAAAATTATGCAGCGAAGATAATCTGCGGATAATGGCGGTTATGTAATTCTCTAGAGCTGACCGCGGAATGCTGGGTGACGTTGTCTTTCACGTGCGTCAACACAGCCCGATTAGTCATGCTGATCTTTCCCCAAAGCAGTAAAGCGCCATTGTGCGGCTGACGAAAGGATTATGGCAACCTGAGGTGTCAACGTCTGATCATCCTGTAACACGCAACGAACAGCACGTCTTCATGGTTGGCCTGGCAAACATCCATGGTAGACAAGATTCGAAGCTGCTCCAAGTATTTTGATACTAATGCTTCGTCAGAGTCAGAGGGCGAAGACGAAAAGCTTGGGCCGAGTGGAAGTTCGAGAATCACAATCGTCATCATCACCGTTACCATCATGGCAGTGAGCGAGCTGCAATGCAGAGATATTTACACATGTCTCATTGTAGCAAGCTTTCCCTCGGCTCATGAGGGGAGAAAGACGATGAAACTCTATGATGTGTGGACAGTATAAGAATTGACTATGTTGGCATGCGTGCATACCACAAACGAACGTGATGCAATGGTCTCGGCTGCATGCCTCCAAGACACCGAAGAGCAATTCGCGGCGATCCTAAAAGACCGGTGGCGTTTTGGTGAGGTATCCGTTCGGCGACTCAAGTCATACCAGGAAACGCGTCGAACACAGCTTCGGGACTATCCTGCCGCATTGTCTGTCCTTACTGTCGACGTTGCAAGCTCATGCGTATCACTCATGAGGGCTGGAATGAGAGACAAGGTATAACGATGAACGATCCGTTTGGAGTCGCCGATAATGATCTCATCGTGGACAGAAAAGCACACGCCATGTCTTCATTTGAGGGCGCGCAGCAATATCCGCATGTGAAGTCGACAGTCCTGGAAAACTTACGAGGTGATCCTCGGAAATTGTCTATTCCGTTCTAAGAAAGCGCCAGGATACGGTATCGTACGATGCCATTGAAAAGCAGCTCTAAGACGAAGCTACGCGACCTTACAATTATGTGCCATCTAGGATTCTTCTGCTAGGTTTCCAATCTCGGAACCCGTCCTGAAGCAGCCCGCAAGGCCTTACGTGACGTGTGGCAGATATTCCGACCTATTCCCGCTCGTGTTAGAATGGTCTGAACGTAGATCTCGTCATCCGTCCTGGTAGAAGATACCCAGGTATGAGCCCTATAGACTAACTGGTTAACTGGTCGACTTCATTGCAGTTGCTTAACTAGGGGTGTGTTTGATATTGGACTGACAATGACATGTAATAGCTAATGAACACGCCAGTCTGCTGCTTCTCGTCTCATACATTTCCAGCCTCGCGATCGTCCAGTCATGTACACTGCTTGGATGCCTACAACCCAGCGATGCCTTAGTCCATCTGGCATGGATTGCTAGAGGAGCAATCCTGAGCTTCACGCTTGCCGTTCTTGGATGGAATTAGGCCAAATGGAACTCCGTCGCCAGAGCCCTGAGTTTCACGTTTGTCCATCTGGCATGGATTGGTAGATGAGCAACCTTGTGGTTCAGCGATGGGAGCTGCTGCGACCAAGGCGCTCGCCGTGAAGGCAAAGAGAGCGAGCACTGATTGAGTCTTCATTATGCTATCATGATTGTCAGCAGGAGACCATTGTGATATGAGCGCCTGCTCGTAACAGGAAGCGTCAAGCTTACAGAAGTGAGTATGAAGCTTCAACAAGAAAGTGATGCGGAAATTATTGCTGTGTGTATGTTGATTTATGTCGTGATATCCGTCATGAAATTGTATCGGGACGGACGACTTTTACATCCTATGGTCGGTGGTAAGTATCAAGGTCCGCGTAACGGCTGCTCCGTGTACAAAGGCTTGGTTGTCGACAAACGAGGTCATAAATCATACAACAACACTCTAAGCACTCCGAAATGCAACAATGATGCTTAGTTCACTGACGGCGCTCTTGATCATAACCTCGATGCAGGAGCTCGGTGACTTTAGGTAGAGACACCGAGACTCAGGTACGTCACAACAAGTAATTGGGGATCATGACCTCTTGTACACGACAAGTTAAGTTCGTACAGCAGCTCATATGATTAACGACATACTAGATGCATGGTACACCTTGTACGGTGTGTGCCGCATGCGTGAAAAGCGACCCGAAGCCCAGAAACGTGAGTGGAGCAATCTCAAGAGTTTCTCAAATGATGCAAGACAAGTCCGTAACTGGAATAATCTGACCACTCGAACTTCGCTCCTTCACAGTGATACTCAGAGTTAGGTAAAGGTATGCTGGGCTCGTCAATTTCAATGCCGCCGGCGCAAACGCGCCTGGGGACGGAAATATTCCGCTCTTCCCCGTGCGCCTCACGAGCAGGGAGTTATCACTCTCATTTCGCATTCGCGCATTCGCGGGGTTCCACCTCACTTAATTCTATGGATGTTGAACCAAAACCACTGCGAAGCAATGGAGAGTTGGCTAAAACGATCTGGAGCGTCAGGATTGCATAACTTGGAGCTTGCCGACTTCCCCGATACTGGGCGCGGTGTCAAAACGCTGCGGCGATTCAAACAAGGAGAAAATATTTTCACCATACCCCATAGCGTCCTCTGGACAGTTAAACACGCGAATGATGATCCTCTTCTTGGGCCAGTGCTGCTCTCCGTGCAGCCATCATTGTCTATCGATGACACTCTAATCACGTACATTCTCTTTGTCAGATCGCGCACATCGGGATATGATGACCGTCAAAGTCATATAGCAGCGCTGCCTACGAGCTATTCGTCGAGCATCTTTTTCTCAGAGAAAGAATTGAATGTTTGCTCAGGAAGTTCGCTTCATGCTACCACAAAACATCTGATTCAACAGATCGAGCTTGACTACAAGGAATTGGTCGCACGACTGTTTGATCGACATCAAGATTTGTTCCCACGCAACAAATTCACCATCGACGATGTACGCAAGCTGCCAGTGTATTACAGTTCAGTCAGCTGCTAACCACAAACCACCACCTTTCAGTACAAATGGGCGCTCTGCACCGTGTGGAGTCGTGCTATGGACTTCAGACTGCATGACGGGGCGTCGATCCGACTTTTGGCGCCCTTCGCAGACATGTTGAATCACACTGCCGATGTAGTGCAGTGCCATACCTACGATCCATCGTCAGGTAATCTTTCCGTCCTAGCCGGAAAGATTTACGATACAGGAGACCAAGTAGGTATAATTTTTTTCTGGCTCTGGAGATCGGTGCACTCACCAAGACGTGTTAACTCAGGTTTTCATAAATTATGGCCCCGTTTCTAACAATCGGCTCTGTCGTCTCTACGGCTTCGCCATACCCGATAATCGTAACGACAGCTATGATCTCGTTCTTGCAACGCACCACATGGCACCATTCTTTATGCAAAAGGAGAAACTCTGGGTCTCATCCGGGCTTGAAGCTAACACTACTATCACTCTGACTCTCGCTGAGCCGCTACCAGATAGCGTTCTTCGTTACCTTCGGATTCAACGACTTGATGCAGCAGAAATTGCTGCCATGTTATCGCACGAAAATGATGCTGCATCCAAGATGGTTAGCCACTCAAATGAATACGAAATTCTTACATTCTTAGTGCAAGCAATCTCTGGGCTTCTAAATAGCTTTGAACCTCCGTTAGAGAAGCTGGAAATGCAACTTGCTGAAGGATTATACACCGCGGGCAGCAATTCATGGTCGGCCGCACACGTCAGTCTGGGCGAACAGCGAGTACTGAGATCGACGAAAACGAAAGCCCAAAGTTTCTTGACGACGTTGGAGAGCAGAAATGGGGAAACGGGAGACTTGTCATCGGCATCAGCCCAGTGTGCCAAGTGCAAACAAAAGGCTGCGCAGCTAATGCGGTGCGGTAGGTGCAAGGGAGTTCAGTATTGCGGGCGGCCTTGTCAGGTCGCCCACTACAAGGAGCACAAGTCGTTTTGTCAAGCTGCATCAATCAGAGCATAGTTTTACACGGGACAGAATCGGAGATTGATCATGCATCCTATTCTAATTTATCAATGCAAGACTCTACGTCCCTCCCGTTGAACTGCGAGAAAATTCCATCGCGAGACCGACCACTACGGAACTCCTTTCCGATATCCTTATCAGCTTGAAATCCTCAGGCAAAGAATGATTAATTTTGTCAATCATTGCCATTCGAGGCATCGAGGCGAATAACAGAAAGCCCGCTTTGACCAACACCTGCTGTGCCGTAATTCTCCTGTGTACCCTTAACCTCTGCTGCAAGTCTTAAGAGACTTACTACAGTTGTCAACAGCATCTCGCATCGTTGTGGGAAAGCGAATGTCCGCAGGCTTGAACGCCTGGAGATTTGAAATCGTGCATGCTCACTGATACAAAAATCGCTCAAATCGGACCGGCCCTCCGACAAACGGGGAGAAGCGAGCTGACTCTCTGTCTAGAAATCGACCAAGTGTCTTGTTAGTCATCAGAAAGACCAAGTATCCTATCAGTCGTCTAAGAACCTCATCCGATCTGACGAACACTTGTTTGGCTGCGCAAAGACGCTCAGCGTCCTGATTTTCATCCAACGGCTCATCCATGACCCTGTCACGATTCTCCATGCGCTCACTCTGCACTCGCCAGAAATTGTTCGAATATGGGCGTGACAGTGCCGGCTTACCGAAGCAGCGAATCCTCAAGCAAGGCATTGACGAGTGAACTGATTCACATGACCGGCTTCGATGACGATCGGCAACTGGAAGCGCTCGGGTACAAGCCTGCGATGAGACGACGCTTCTCCCCGCTATCGCTTCTCTCAATGTGCTTCGCGCTGACCGCCACGTGGAATGGCTTCGGCGCGGCAATAGGCGTCAGCTTAGCGCAAGCCTCGTCCGGAGGAACCTTGGTCACTTTAATCATGGCTGCCGGCCTCAACTTCATCGTATCGCTTGGTATGGCTGAGTTGGCATCAGCTTATCCCAACTCCGGTGCGCAATACTACTGGTCGTATCGTGTCGCAAGTCGCGAATGGGCGCCATTTGCATCCTACATCTCGGCATGCACCAGCACAGCAGGTTGGTGGTTGGGTCTCGCGAGTGTGTGCAATTTCATCACCGCGATTATATTCGCGATACTACACTTATTCGGAGGACACGACCCATACCTCTGGGAGCAATGGTTATGTTATACTGAAGTACTGTGGTCAGCGGTCTTGTTCAACATTCGAGGAGTCTCTTTCCTCCCATTGTTCAACCGTTTTATATGTGAGTGCACATTGCACGTATTGCAGGGGCAGAGCAATATTGGTATACTCATCTCCAACAGTGGTATTCTCGATTTTGTCTTTGATCCTGACGGTCGCAACTCTGCTTTTTTGTGCTTCCCCACAATTTCAGAGTGTTGAATGGGTCTTCCTCAACACGGACAACTGGGGCCAATCATACGATGGCAGAGGTGGCCACAAGCAAGTCAAGCAAGTCTGGAGCCTGGACTTGGCTTGACTTGAGGCCTCAAAACCGTGGGCTTGACTTGCTTGAGAGGTC